ATTAAGACATTTGTAATGGATTAAGTCCATGTGCAGCTTCCGCTCACAGAAGACGTGTGAGAGCATTGATACGAACTTGTTTGAACCCACGTATCTCATTAACGATAGTGTTTTCACTAACTTCATTTTCCAGTCGAGCACCTTTCACATAATTTCATGGCTTGCTGGAGGCAGCCTACACCCACTGAACAGCTAGAGAAGGCGTGCCGTTTAATGCTGAGCAGGGTATACTTCAGTGTGGTGAAAGACAAGCCGTTGACATTGTTGTAGTTGTGAGAAGGAATGTACCACAACACCCAGAGAGGCTACACGGTCTGGTTAGGTTTAATTAAGATGCCTCCTCACAGTGACAGCTGCTTCCTGTTTCATTATTTCTTTTTTTAACGATGCCGGCAGTTTGCAATAATCCAAAAATGAACTATTACAGTTTTTACACTGGTTTCCTATCATATTTTCTGAATTAGTAATCAAATGTAGTTTTAAATCTACCTGTTTTCTTTGTGACTCTTTAGAATTTTTTAATATAAATATTTTATATTTTTGTAATGCATACTGAGGCTTAAAGCTAAAAATATCAAACAAGTGAAAGATCAAAGGAAGGTTTAAACTAACATTAAAATAAATTCTTACAGAAAATTTAAAATCTGATTAACAAAGTTTCTTTATTTTTGGGAGGAGAAGTAAAAACATAACAGGGAAAAAAGGTCATTTAATATGACACTTACAATAAATCAAGCTGCCTATATTTATTTTTGGAAACTCTTTGAAATGCTTTGAAACAATTGTGGTCTGTTAGGTTAGTTTCTCATTAGAAGGAGAAGGTTCTAGTCTCTTTAAGTGTAGGCATAGAAGTAGTATAGTGGTAGTATAAGACAACAGACATGAGCAAAATGAGATGTATTTTTTTTGGTTGCTACAAGAGTCTTTATTTGCCCTTCTGTATAAAATAATATGTTTCTCTTATTTCTTGTTTTCTTTTGTGTGTGTGTGTGTGTGTGTGTGTGTGTCAGGCTGCTGAGCTGGCAGAGCACACAGCAAAGATCAGCCTGCTCGAGGAGGCTAAGAAACGCAAGGAGGAGGAGGCCAACTCATGGCAGCTCAGGGTGAGAGCTTAAATGTGACCACAGTGCCGTTTACTCAGGCTCACTCAGCTGTTTCTGTCTGAAACAAGGACTGAATTAAATTATTGCAGACCTTATATTTGCAGTTAGAAATTCTATAGCGTTGATTTTGAGCTGACTGACCTTCTCTGTCATCACCAGGCCCGTGAGGCCCAGGACGATCTGATTAAAACCAAGGAGGAGCTGCACAATGTAATGACGACGCCTCTGCCGCCACCACCTCCTCCCATGTACGACCACCTCATGGATGACAACAGTGACGACAACACCAGCATGCACAGCGCCGACCTGCACGTGGACGGCATCAACGACCACCGCAACGAGGAGGATCGCCTGACTGAGGCCGAGAAGAACGAGCGCGTCCAGAAACAGCTGAAGGTGAAAACTAGCACCTCACACAGTCAGTCATTGGCGAGCGTGATGGCACATTAACACCTTTATCTGAGGTTATCAGCTGTGTTAAGGATAGAACACAAAAACAGTGCTGCGTGTGTGGTTCCTGCAATTCAGTTAAATAATCAGGAAGAATTACCTGCGTTCATGCTTATCTGTTACTGTGTTACCCAACATTAGGGTAGAAGATCTGTACAGACAGATTTAGAAATAGAACTTCCTCCTCAGGTAATCTTAGTCCGAATTAGCTGACAGCTTGAAACAAGTCTAGACAGAGAAGAGTTTAACTGGAACAAACAGTTTGGCCGTGAAAGCACAGAAGGGCCTGGTGTTATTGAATGCATCAGAGTTCTCATTGAAGCCTTGATCTAACTTAAACACTATTAACACCAAAGCAATTTTTGCAGTCCATAAGACTAGAATAGCACTACATTCTGTAAAAACCAGTTCACAGCTGTAGTTTCTGTTAAAATTGAAAGATTACAAGTTTCACCGCATTCATCCTGTTATCACTTCTCTTTCGACCTTCACGTAGAACCAGAGCTGTTGAGCTCTGGCTCGATTATCTATACTAGACTATAACATCAGGAAGTTGAAATCAGCGGTACCTTTGAATGTTTGAACTTGATGTTGGAGACCAGCTCAGTCACCTGATCGCCCTGTATCCTATCTCAAAGCTGCGTTCAGAAATGAGCGGCGTTTATGCAGGAAGCGAACTGCTCATCACGCATCGCTTTGACAGTTGGTCGCTAGCAGACGATTTGGGCTCTGGTTGTCAAGGCATTTACCACGCCATACTATATAACAGTTAACAGCATCTTTTGTTTCACTCACATCAATATTAACTAAGTGCTCATCTAGAAGTTGCAAAAACTTCACATGGCCAGAGGTTATTTCACTCGTCATTGCTTCAAGTTGCTAGATATGTCATTGACTTTCTGTTATCGCCGATTACCCAGTTGATTGTCGCTTCCTGTGTGGAGAGCAAAAACTTTACTGCTCACTACTTTATACAAAGTCAGCTCTCAGTTTCCTGCCACAGAAACTGCCGCAGATTAATATATATTTTCTGTTTCTAATAGTCACATTGTTTTTAATGGGAAAACTACAAGAGTTTGGAAGAAAATTTTGAATCTGCTGAGAAATTTTTCCAAATCTCTTGCAGATGCATGGAAATGTATTTGATTTTTGAGCCAAGTTTAACTTACAGGAGATAACGGTGTAAAATTCTCAGGGCTGAAGAATATATTCAAGCCCTTTTTTTTAATGGACCAATCTAGAAGTGATCAAGCAAACTGTAGTGATTTTACAGGAACGTCGTCACAGCCTGTTTTCAGCCATGAACTTCAGAAAGTGTCAGGAGAATCAGATCAGGACAAGCCGTCCTTTCTCACACGTGTCAAACAGCAGGAGACAGCTTGGACAAATGATCACTGCTGGAAACACTGTATGCAATTTAGGCTACATCGTCACATACACTGGTGTTTTTATAAAGAAAAGAAAAAAAAACAGAAAATGTTTATCGCTAAAGCAACACACATTGATAGAACTCTTGTTAGAACTCTAATCATACAGAGATGTTGATGTCTCACGGCAAAAAAAGAGGGGAAAAATGTTTGTTGTCCTCATCCACGTGTAAATGCAGAAACTGAGTTTCCAAACTACTGTTTTGTGTAGGAGGTGCCAAACATGATGTGCATTTGCTAGATGGAAGGTTAAAGACTGATTAACACATATGTCTTTGTGGGGTATAAAGTTCGAGGCTATAGTGAGCTAAAATGGACACGGTGACTCATTCATGGAACTGTATAAGAGGCGGCATTGTTGGTTTTTGCCCTCAGATCTCATTCTTCTTCCTTTCCTCCACCCTCAGGCCCTGACCTCAGAGCTGGCTCAGGCACGTGATGAATCCAAGAATACCGCCAACGACCTCCTCCACAGTGAGAACGTGCGAGCTGGCCGAGACAAATACAAGACTCTGCGACAGATCAGGCAGGGCAACACCAAGCAGAGGATCGATGAGTTCGAAGCCTTATAAGGAGCCCTCGGAAAACGTACCCTTTCTGAATGGTCACTACATATCTCACTCTTCGACTGCCAGATCAACACACAACCATACCCGGACATGTTTAACACACTGCTGCAGACTGAATTGAAGCAGTATAAGCAGAGCAGAAGCATCACTACAGAGAGCAAGAAACTCCTGTTATGAGTGCCCTGCTGGATGCAGGGCTTTGCAAACCCTCTGAAGAAATATTAGTGCCAAAAACTTTCCCTTTTGTCTCTACTTAGTGTTTCATTTCCCGTTTGTGTATTTAATTGTGTAATTTGAGCAATTCAGACCAAAAATAGTCATCTGTTTTTAGAGGTGGGATGAAGTGGGGGATTAGCCAAATTATTTTAGTATTTTATGATGCGCACAGAGAGAAAATAGTACAAGCTTTGCTTATTTTTGATGGAGGACCGTTTGTTGTTCATGGCGACCACTCAGAAAGGGGGAACGAGCAGAAAAATAGTTTTTATTTTCCATCATATTTGAACACTTCCATTTATGTTTAATATTGCTATTCTGTAGGTTAAAAAAATTAATCCCTAGTTGGATATTTATACTGTATATGGGACATTTAAAAAGGGTATTTCATTTTGGTTTGTATATTTTTGCTATCTTCTGATAACAAAACATTCAATATGTTTTAAAGATTTTATATATTGACCAAACAACAACGGTCTTATGTTCCATATGTTTTCCTTTAGATCAATAAATTAAAGAAATATTCATTGTAAATTATTATTTTTTACCGTAGGAAATATATTCAGCTGCATGCTATTAAAATCACGTCAGAAGATCTCTAGCTATCTAGGTACTTTTATCATTATCATTATTATTATTAATAACATTATTATTATTGTTTTTTTGCCATGCAGTTCACAGAACAGCGATGCATCTTTTTCTTGAGAGCAGGTTTAATATTTCTGTTTCTGCCTGTTCCGTGTCATGTCACTGAAGAGTGAGAAATGAACATTTTCACACTCTAAAGTGGCCTTTGGTCGCCCCTCTGCAGGGGTCAGTCCCAGACAGCCGCTCGACACGTCTCAGCCAAGGTGCTTAGTCACCCAAAAAAACAAAAACAACAACAATAAGATGCAATTCTGAAAACCTTTGGGGTTTTTTTTTGTTTGTGTTACATCTCCAGAGTTTCATGGACTGACCCAGATTGAATAAAACCAAGTCTCATGTTCTCCTTTCTGGACATTTATTAGTATTTACTGACTCACAGCTCTGCTGGACTTTGTATATGAACAGGATTTTATATTGAGGTGTTTAACAATTTGGCAATTAAAAAAAAAAGATTACATGTCTGTGTGTACTTTGTAAAATATATATTTCAAAGTAAGTAGACACTTCTGTCCTCATTCTTTCTGGACCGGGATGTTTTAATGGGTTTGCCTTATGCCTCTGAGTCTTAGCCTTGCTAGCCCATGTGGGTTTAACCATGTAAAGCCAAGTGTATCATATCTGATACAAATTAAAACTCATATATGCAAATTAATATAAATATATATATTTGTCAGGAGGTTCAATAAAATCAATTTTCAAAAAAATATTAGAATTTTCTGGTCATTCTGTCATTGTTCTGGGTTTACCATGTTAAAGACAGACCAGGATGACAGGATGGATTGCTTTGGAGGTTGTATCAATTTTCATGTTCTCCCAAACAACGACTGCTGGGCGCTGATGATAATAGCTTTGTCAGGCGTTGGCATTACAAAGCCAAACTGTATGAAAAGGTAGTCCATAGAGTTGGGACTGGTTCTGGCTTGGGATGTTGTGAGATTGATGTTTGTGTTTTTGAATAAAAGAACTCACCAGATGTTCAATGAATTGAAAATGAAACTTGATGCAGAAATTTCCTTTCAAGATGAGCTCTAAAATGAAGTCAGACACGCTAAATGCTTCCCAAAAAGTAGAGCTTTATATTTATAATATCAGCATGTCAGGACTCTCTCACGTTGTTTTGATTCATATTCAGATACTTTTATTTTTACAAAAGCAATTCAGTGTGACAGAAAAATAAATAAAATGACAAAAAACGAAAACAGACATGCACGTGGAAGCTGATCGACTTATTATCTGACAGCTATACTACACATACACTGTAAATAGTTGAATGCTAAATGAGCGTCTTAAAGTGCTGGATGTAAACAAAAATAAATAAATAAATAAATAAATAAATACAATGAGTCTGTAAGCGGCCTGCGCCGCTGCTGGCGTCAATTTCTCCACCTGTTGACGCAGGCGAGCTGACGTCACGCTTAACCTGGTGAGCCTCCAGTTGCCATGGTGAGCCGGGAGAACGCGGAGTCAACAGAATTCCAGGTCAGTGACATCACTGCTCCCGGCACAGAAACCGCCTTATTCCTTCTCTTCTTCTGCTGCTGCTTTCCCACGCCGCGTCCACAGAGACAAGAAACGTGTCTTTGTACTCGAAGAGCCGCTGTGTGGTGTGTCTGTGCGTGTGTGTCTGAAGCAACTCAAACTGCTTCCGCTCCACCGCCGGGTGTGGCTCCAGATTTCATTTGTCAGTAACGTTAGCTTAGCGTCTCTTCCACTAATTTTATTTGCATGGACGTTTTGTTGCTGCTCTCCTCTGACAGAAGAACATCGCATTAACGGGGAAAATGGGTCTGAACGGATCGACGAATGTCAGCAGAGAGGCCTTGAACGGAAGTGGCATCACTTTAACTGTTTAACATTTATAAAGCAATAAAATTGTACGTGCTAGCCGTCTGCAACTATGAAGCATCCACAAGCAGTTAATAAACAAATATGTCGGTATGTTAGGTACAACCTCCATCAGGAAGCTGGCTTATCCAATCTTTCTTTAGCTTAAAACTGCAGCACAGGATATTATAAAGTAATTATTAAACAGACTTGGAGCCGATGGTTATAGACTGTAACTTGATTTTTTCAAGTTTCAAGGTGCTTAGCAGATAAAAAAAAAAGAAACAGAAAGCTAAATAAATATAACAAGCATAAATAATAATGTTTCTATAAAGCAATAGATTTTTTTATAGTCTGTTCTATAATGCAAAAAAATATTAATTAATCACAACTGCTTTGCTTGAGGTGGTGTATACATTCATAACGATTGTAGATGCTTCACAGGCGGCATTAAAGTGTTTCCACAGAGGATGTTCAGAAGTGGATCTCTGCTGTTATTGTTCCATTCAAGTCCCCATTATGGTGCCTCAGAGAGGCAGGAGGTGCTTTGATCCCACAGAGTGACGTCCTGGACGAGCAGCAGTGGAGGACTTCAGTCTCCCTCTTTTTTTTAGAAATGGGCGTCTTGTGGATGAGCTCTCTGCTGGCTCTCAGTCAGACGCCTAAATGAGACACGTACATACACAAACACACGAGTTATGTAAACACTCCCTCATGCTTGTTGAACAATGTTGAACAATTACACTTGCGTTCAAAAAGTCACACACCAGAACACACATAGCACACCTGAGGCCTGCGCACACAAGGAGGCACACAGGGCCACAATGACATGTATTTACACTCTGAGTCATGTTTACACTAATGGGAAGGTGTGAAGGACGGTTAGTGGATCATTGCTATGTGGCCCAGTTTGCCTTAAAGGACAACACAAGGTATCCAAAACAGATCCTCTCCTGACCCCTAGTGCCAAAATGAATGCACCTAAAAGGTTAAGGCTCTTGAAATGTGCCTTTAAAAATTATATTAAACTCAATTACAGCTCACTTAAATAAAAAAATATTTTTTTTTACTTATTTTATTTCATTTTTATTAGTAGACCCTGACCAGCCTTTTCTGAAAAGTGTTGATGACGTTCTCTTAAAATAGTGGTTTTCATAGCTCGCACCTCAGCCCACTTGATAACCACACCAGAAAACCACCTGGAGGATTTCGAACAACATGATATCACTAGCAAATAAAGTAACCTTTAGTCAGAAGAAAACTTTTATTTCAATATTAAATCATTTATATTTGACATATATTAAAATATTTGTTCTGGGGACACTGGCAGAGATGAGTGTAGGTGTAAGTGGGTTGCAAAGTGGTTTGCAGGCCAAAGCAGCTTTAATATTGCCCTGTATGATTTAATTTGCCAATTTAAATGAATAAAAAGGTATCAGGTGACCCAGATCAGCTGATCTGATAGGTTTACGCTTGTGCTCGACTATGTGACCTCAAACTCACGTACATACACCTTGTAAATTACAGCTTTCAGAATCACTGTCCCACTTGTACTACACCACCTACTACGTATGAACTAAAAAACACATGAACTACACAAGCCTGACGAAAACAAAGCGCTAGACAGACATTTAAGCAAGCTACAAACTCACCATGACTCCGGCCAGTGGTTCTCCTCACTCCTGATCACCTCCGTTTTGTCTTTCAGGCTGAAGGACACAGGAAGGAGATTTTATAGAAAACCACTTCCATATCAGCCATACAGGCAAAAGTCTTCAGCAATAATAAACAAATCTTTTCTGCCGTGCTCCATTTTACCTTCGGACACAGTGGATACCAGTTAAAGCACTGGAATGCCTTGTCTTCAAATCTCCAGCCGTCCAGAGGGATGAGGACTTCACCAAGAAAAACTTTCCTTTTCAGGGTACCTGAGTGCCACACAGTCGCCTGTAGCCTCTTTCCAATGAGCATGTTGCGCTGTATGCCATACTGTGAAAAACATTTAAATTTTAGTGAATGCTGTTTACGTTCACAACATTTATTAAAATGTTTTCTTTAAACAATGATTAAGCACATGAGTTTATGGTCTCAGGGCCTAGTTTTGAGTGTTATAGAGCAGCGGATGATATTATTTTTGTAAAATTGAATCAGAGTCAGAAAGGGAGTTAGCCGGGGTACCGTGGAGTGTCGCCCAGTTTTAAGTTCTTGCTCTTTATTTCTGGCTTTAAAACACCCAGATGACTGTAGTGAAAAGGCTCAGCTCAAGTCTTCACAGCAGGACTTTACATCAATTACTGAGCGACGTCACAGTGCCTATATCCATCTTTTATATACAGACTATGATGGCATCTCAGAGTAGATCATATTTTTGATGCACCAGATAAAAAACTTTCAAAGGAAGAATTTACTGCCCATGAAATCAATAATTTTGTTTCTATAAGTCATGAGCATGCATATGTGCATGCTGCAAGTTTTATTAAACTGATGACACATAGAGACATCCAAAAATAGCTGAAGAGGTTCTTTGTTTTTACCTTCAAAACTTCATTGTAAACCGGATCAGTCGTGTTCTTCTTCACTGAAGTCTTCAGTTTGCAGCTCTTGTCCGGCAGCACGTAGATTTTCACGTATCTGTGCAGCAGAATACAAAATAAAAAAATGCTGTTGAAGCTTTGATGGAAAATCACAGGAAATGCGCTCTGCCTCTTTGTGTTGCACAGAGTGACATCAAACGTGTCCTTACGGGTGACACTTCCTCTTCTTGCTGTCTCCGTAGGACAGGTTTCTGCAGGTGCCGACTGTGATCTCCAGACGGGAGGTGTTGGTGTTGAAGGCCAGAGCCAGCTCCAGTTCTCCGGTCACAGAAACGCTCTCAAAGCCCAACTCTGTGCTGGTGCTGCTGCAGCTGCCCTGAGGGAGCCAAATACAGGTTATAGCATCAATTTTACACTTCAGAGGAAAAGGATGAGAGAGGTGTGAGAGAGGATAATTATAAGAGGGGATTTTGTGATCAGGGCTGTTATTTCTGAATATTTTAACCACCGGATGTTGTTTGGGGATTTTATTCAATTTTTTTTTTTTTAATGAAAATCAGCTGTGACTTACTCTCTTCCCTTCAGAGTACTCAGAACCGAATGAGGTCTCGTCCTCTGCCCCGGTGGAGGAGCCCTCCTGGTCGCTGTCTTTGCTTTTCTTGAACAGGTTTGGAAGACTTGGGACTTTGAAGAGCTGCACAAAGAAAGAAAGTCATTTTCTTTACTCTGCTTTTGAACTTTTTTATATGATATAAAACTAGAAAACATCAAGGAGCAGTTTAGGCACATAAAGCAAAAAGTCGCACTCTCTCTCAGATTTGAGGTTGCTGATGTTATTCCCTGTCATCACCAGCAGGTGCTGCTAAAGGCCCTGAATCAGTTCCCCGTTTTATCTGTGATTTCCCGCTTCCACTCTCAGGCCCAAATATGTGCTCTGCAAAAACACTTTCACTTGCAGCAGAAGCAGCGCTACCACCACAAACTTGACTTGAGTTCAGTGACTGATGCGTTCGACCTACCGTGCTCGATTTGTTTATGTCTGTGTCGGACAGGCTCTTTTGGGTGGAGTGGGTAAAGCTCGAGCCTCTCCATCTGTTGTCGACCTTCAGCAGATCTTCACGGACGTCGTTTTGAGAATTGGAAATCTCTGCAAAGGGAAATGTAAGAAAAGCACAACCCAGTAAATGCCTGTTTACTGGAAAACAAATTTAACGAAGAGGTGCATCCTGTGCTCGGACAAACAACGCTGCTCAAAGAGCTGTGCGTGCGTGGCGGTGTTATCTCCTGCATCATCTAAAGCCTCTTTTGCTGATGCAGTAGGTGTCATGAGCTCACGAGGCTTTTTTTTTCTTCTAAATTATCTCTGGTGAATTTCCTTTGTGGTTATTACTGTGCGTATATTGAGCTCATGATCAGAGTGTGTTTGATAACATCCACAGGAAGTGATGCTACTAATTTCGAAGCAACAATTTCTCACAACTGCACACTGAGAGTATCTGTTGTGTGTTGCACTTTGCAATGCTGACCGCTGGGCCGAGGTTGAACAACGACTTACTTTTAATGTGACTCGTGAAGGAAACCATTAGATTTTCCACAGATTTGGTGAAAGGCTTTGAGTTTTTCCAATCCTGCAGATCAAAAAAAGTAATAATGATTAATCACTTTATACATGTTTCATTTTAACTTGTAAAAAAAAATGGGAAAAGAAAATAATACTTTACCCCAGATCTGCTCAGGAAGTGATAATCCAAGTGAGGTGGAGGAGTGGGAGGCACAATGGATATATGACTGCGAAGATACACGAGTCAAAAAATGTAATTTTACAACCACATCGGGACAGAGACTTAACCTGATGTAGAAAAATAAACACTTAGAAGGTAAATAATACCTCAGCACATTGTAGGTCTTCAGTAGATTCTCCCCAACCGTCTCATATTTGTCTGAAAGGACATCAGGAAGGAACAGAAAACCATTTAAATATCCTTAATAGTTAAGTGTTATGATGCCTAGCCACACTATGAACTGAACACATAAAGCCAGCAACATAAAACAACTGCGTTCATTCATATTTTATGAGTCAGTGTAGCTGAACAAGCGTGCATTAATATTGAATAATGATTTATATTTAAAAAAGGAAAAGCAGCTGTGTATGCAGCATGCAAGCGATCCTCTATACTTATTTACAGCTGCTGCCAGTTTAATGTCTACAAGTTCAGAACATATGATAACCATGAGAATATTTTAATCTCTCCCTTTTTAAATTAATGTTCTCAGGATTGTAACTCAAGGAGGCGACCTGTGCTGTTTACTGAACATCAGAGCTGTGAGCTCTAACTTGTGATTGACGGTCATGTTAAACTCTATCTGGAGGGTTGCTGTCGGACGAGCAGACTCTATCTCTATCAGTTGCAAAGGCAGCAAGTGTACTCATAACTTCCTTAGTGTCTTAGGGATGTGAGAAAGCAGTCCCAGTTCAGAATTGCAAGCCAACAAGTTGGAGTAAGAAGCTGCAGGTTGGGTCAGTGATCATTCCTGTGTTTGATACTCAACAATAATGTTATTAGGAGTTTTGGTGACTCCTCTGGGCCCTTTTTTATTTCTCTTTTATTTGGTTAGCTTTAGTTTTATGTTGAAACGACAGTGTTCTGGAGTGTAATGAAATAATGCCGAACAGTATCGTGGCATCTCTGCTGCTCTGACACTCAAACTGAATTTCAGATTTGATTGTTGTTTGCCCTGCACACTGTCTGAAGATGTAGCGCTAAAAATCAGAGATAAAAAAAAGGATGTGCAGACCAGAGATGGGGGAAGTTACCCCCACACCCTGCAAATCACACCCTATGTGTATGCATGCAGTTTGAGTTTTGCATACAAACCTGTGGTGACTGGAAATTTCTTTGACTTTTCTTCTAGAAACCATTCTCCGGACTTGATTTTTACATCCCTGTGAAGAGGAAGAGCGCCGTGATGAGCAGGTAGAAATGACAAGACGGCCACAATCAATAAAACTACAACTGCAACATCTTCATTTCTCTTTTGAATTTAGCTTTAGTTTGACAAATGTATCTTCGTTCTTTCACAGATAATTAAAGTAGTAAAAGAACAGTTACATCCTTTTCTGAAAGACAAGGCGTAGGTTTCGGAGAAAAACATGCCCCCTCAGTATTCAGAACAAATCATCTATAAATGTGGACACATTTTTACACATGTAAAATACCCACACTAAAAATGAAGAGGCCAAAAATACGTGTAGGAAATACACCTAATCTAAATTTCACTTTTCAGAGATGCTATCTGCATATTTCAAATGTTTATGACAGAGTTCATATAGGGGAAGGGAAGGGGAAGTTTTAAAGAAGCGACAGGATGTGTTAAAATATCTCGTCCCATCTTAACAAGCTAATTAGTGTCACAGCTATTTTAAATAGGACTTGGGACACTTTAAAAGTTATTAGAATAGTTTGTGGTTGATTACCAAACAGCTGGAATGTTGATGATTAATTAAAACAGCGACACTTGACCTGAAACTCATGTTAAAGTTGTAGATTTAATGTAGGTATCAATCAGTCTGAGCGCAGACCTTATTATTATCGGTTTTCACTCATTATCATTTCCTTCATAAATCTGCTCAACAGAATAATTACCCACATTTTTATGGAGTTGGAGTTTATCTACTCTTGCTTTGGTTAGTCGGCTCTTGAGGGATTTATTTCAATCATGTTGCTTTAGTGTCCTTGACACAATTTCCTCTTTTTTTGTAGCAATCGGTGCCTTTTAAACTGCAAGTCAGTCTTTACATCATGTTCCTGCAACTGAGGAGGGGGGTTTCAGTCTTTACGTGAAGCTGCTGACTGGAGAAACTGCAGTTTAACAGGGGTGTAGCTAAATCTAGGCTCTTAGTGGTTTGGTCCACTGTCCCCTGTTCCCTAATGCCTTTACTTTGAAGGGGAATCTTATACTGTTACGGGGAACGTTTTATGGATGCGGGAAGTCCGTCCACAATTAAATTAGTGTTCTAAATCATTGAATTATCAAATAATTGGTCAGGTTTTTATTTCTAATGTCATTTTCTGATCTCCCACGGACTGTTTAACCATTTCATTGGATAGTTCAGCACGACGACGAGCTCTCTCAACAGTACACAAACAGAGTAAAAGTGAAAGTGTGAGATTTGAGCCTCAGTTACAGTAACCTTCAGTCAGTCACTGCTGGGCTTTACACACGCACAGTCATTCAGTGCTTGATTTGAGCCTCGCTGAGTCACACATTTCAACCCTCTGTACAGCAGGCTCGCTGGTGGCCTCCCTACCTGTATGCGTGGCAGACCGTGCACTTCCAGATCGCTGCTCCCACACGACACTTGTTGCAGATGCGGTGGCTGCAGCCGCGGCAGACTGCGCCAGAGTTCCAGAACTTTCCCAGCGGCCTCTGGCATCGGGCGCAGGTCCGCTCGCCGTACTGCCGGGCATAGCTCTTTGCACCCTTCCTTCGGAGCTCCTGCAGGTCGTATTTCATCCTCCTGAGGATAGGGAGAACCACAGAGAGCTTTAACTGCGAGATTCACAGACATTTCTCTTCTGACAATAATGAACAGTTTTTTTTTAGAACATTTTAATATTTTAAACATCCTTCAGAAATGCATCACTCTGTTATAGATGCTCAACATAAAGCCAGCAGATAAAAATTTCTTCTGGATATAAAAACTGAAGAACAGTATGCCCTTATATGGGGACAATGGGGACATATGGGGTTTCTTTGAGAGCGTAACACAAAGTTACCATAGTTAAACAAGGTTTTATAACACTTTATTGAGCAGAATTAAGTGTCAGCTGCAAAAAAACAAAAAAAACAAACAAAAAAACAAAACCAACAAGATTTAAAGTCCCCGTGTGAGAAGAAGGTTCTTTCTTTATTTTACGACACAGTATGAACTTCTGATATCCCACTCATGTCTGTATGTTAAGTATGAAACTACTAACAGTTCAGATTTGTAACAGGTAACATCTCTGAAACAGGTTTTGTTTTCAGAAGAATCATTTTTTCGCTTTCACGTAATCAATATAAGAGCAGTCGGCCCTGCCTCCTTCCAGCATCCCTAAAAATCTAATTTCATCCCAGCACATATTAACACTGTTTGAAATGACCCACCTGATCCTGTCTTCTTCGATTGCTCGCATCTGTTTGTCTCTCCGAAGAACCTCCAGGATGCTCTCTCTCTCCATAACTTGAAGCAAACTTAAATCCATGTTTTTGAATTAAAAAAAGAAAGAAATACTGGTTCAGGTCTTCTGTCACTGTCACAGGTCCTGCTCTCTCTGTCTCTCCTCTCTGCTTCACAGTTTTCTTTTTTCACTCCTGTCTCCTCCTCCTCTCCTCTTTAGTCCTCCCCCTCACTGGGCCCAACCCTCAGATCGTCTCTTTCGTCTTCTGGAACTGAAAGATTAAAATAAGGGAGATAGCAAGGTTATTTCGCGAGCAGCGGAGATTCCCCTTTCCACATCAGAAAGCTACTTGTAGTATTTCTACTTGAATGATTTAAAATAACCTTCTTATCTCCAAGAATACCCGGGATGACGTAAATAGTTGCTCGGCGGCACAGGATGTCATGAAAAAATGACATGTCCAGATCTGTGATGATCAGTTACCCCTCATTTCCCCTCATGCTGCTCACGTCCTCACAGACCTCCGCTGTGTTAAACCACCGCTGCTTCCTCAGCTGCAGGAAGAGCAGCGATGCTTCACTGATGGCAGGGCAACAGCAAAACAAACCAAATGCCAACCCTGTGCATTATTGATGGCTGACGTGCACCCGTGGCCCAGTTTCTTTTTCTTTTTTGTTTTTATTATTAGATCAATAGCTCTGTTTCATGTTTTACTTCAAAAGAAGTCACTTGACAGTCCTTGGAAATAAGCTCATCCACTGGTTTGAGGTTTACAACAGAAGATCAGCTGTGTGTGTTTGTGAAGAAGCTAGAATATCTTGAACACATCTCATGTCTTGTATTTTCTTGGCTTACTGAAAATGTTCAGTGTGCATAACATTGCATGTAGAGTTGTGACTGTGTTACTTACCACAAACAGTCATCATACAATTTAACAGATGTAGCTGTGAACTGGCTTGAAAGTCACACATGGACCTTATTTTTTGTTTTTTAATCCTTAGTTATTTTTAATCACTGCCTCTCTTCCACAGCTTGTCTCTTCTCCCTCCCCTCACCCCCAACTAGTCAAATGGTTGCCCCTCCTTGAACCTAGCTCTGCTTGAAGTGGAGCTTTTCCTTTCCACTGTTGCCAAGGGGTCAAAGGCGGTTGTTATTGTAGATTCTTTACACTACAATTTAAAGCACATTGAGGCGACTGCTGTTGTGATTTGGCGCTGTGTAAACAAAACTGAACTGAATTGCTTGCATGCCTGACCCCACAGCTGGGTGTGTGGTCAGTTTATAAGGAGGGTCAATCAGCAACGTGGGAGGAAGTAAAGGAGAAAGCTGATTCTTTAATATCTCATTCATTTGGAAGACGTCATTCCCGAGCGCTTAACATCTCAATCTGGACTGAGACCATTTTCCTTCCCGGCAGCGCACAGGCGTGGGGAGCAGAGGGGAAATGGCCTGTCGAAGAGCTGGATGTCAACCTGCGTTAGCAGATAAGGCCCGTCGTTGTCACTAAACCGAGCTGCCAGGAGGCTGAAGAAAACAGTCAGTGCTAGTAATAATTAGGCCTCACGGCTCAGAGAGGGGCACGGCTGTTATCTGTCCTCTGCTTACGTGCTCTGTGCCGCTCTTGAGCTCTAAATACCAGGCGAGGCAACAAGTTGCACACTTAAAAACTACTAGTAGCAGATTCCTCATTCGAAGAGTAGCTCAGTTTACAGATGATCGTCTTCGTTATCACAATAATGCAAGCACACTCATCTCAGACTCGCCTCTACGATGCAAAGGGGCCATAATGATTCAGGCTTTGCGTGGTTTAGTGGTTAGCGCTTTAACATCCGAGAAGAGAGCGAGGAGGATTGTATCAGGCCACCGCAGCAATGACAGTAAAAAGGGCACTTGACTAATTTCATTGAGACCTACATATAGCATATCGTGAGAAACCCCAAGGCGGTCACGTGGTCTCTGACACACTTCCCACCCAGATGAGGGGCTTCCAGGAAGGCTTCAGTGACAGCATGCAAACTCTGGCCTTAAAGCCAGAAGCGTCTGCAGCAAGTGAATTCCAAATAAAAACCTCACAGCTGCTTTTTCATGCTTGCAACCCACAGTGACTGACAATAGAAACTATGTCAGGTACACATTTTTAAAAATGACCCATCTAACAAAACTCGCTCACGTCACAAAACCTTGCTGTGAGGTGACACAGACTCCCAAAATACTTTCCAGGAAATTATGTGCATGTTATCGAGCTGCGTGTATATTTAAACTAAACTTATCATCTTCATGCAGTTCATCACAGCAACTGAAAAAAAAAAAAAGCTCAGAAAAGCTGGCGTCATCTTTCTGCATTTCCTTTGCAAGAGACGTGCCCTCTGCTTCAGTTTGAGCCGGATTTGAAAACTTTCATATAAGAGTTAAAATAAAGAAACTACTGACTCAAGGTACACTTGAAAATATGAATGCCAGATGAAGTAATAAAACATTTGAAGTCCTACAGATTGATCATCATAAGAAGAGCATGCAGTAGACCGTATTCAGCCAGCTCAGCAATTCAACAACTGAATGGCGGACTTCACAGAAAGATTTCACGCAACAAAAATTTTTTTTTCTTTCTCAATGACTAAAGATGCAGTGAGACAACTTGTACCCTTTTCTTGCCAAACCATCAACCGACACTTGAGAAAAGCATTGTGACAACTGCACCAGCCTTGCAACAACCTCAAATGGAAAGTAGGCTCAGGTTTTCTGACATGAGAATTGGGTCACCTCAGAGTTTACGAGGTGCAGAGCTGAAAGCTGCAAGATCTTACCTTCTGGCTTCTTGCGCTGCCGGAGTGGTCAGCCTGAGGAAGTGGCAGACTTTAAGCACATAGGGTAACGTACTTCCTTCCTTTTCACATGTACATGTACAGCTTCAACCTGAAGGAGACTTGAAGAGCAACTGCCGCTTCCCTCGCTCTACATGACGCTGTAACTGCAATCGTGTGAAGCGAAAGTGATTTGTGCACCTTGAATCTTGGCTGATAAAAGGTCATAAACAAAAGGAAACAAGTCACAAGCTCAATGTGGAAGTTTGTTTTTTATATGAAATTTTTCATGTGTGAAAAACTGCAGCAACCAATAGAAAAGGCTTGGTATACATGAAATCTATATGACTTCATATACGAGCAGTACGCGAAGATGAAAAATCAAAGACTGAATAATGATTTTGCTGATCCACACATTCAGATGCACACAGTCACGGACGGATTAATGAACTGAGCTCACACAGCTTCTCTTCATCTCCAACTAAACGCTGAAGTTTAGCGGCTGCCTGAAAATTCATCTTCCCAGGAAAAAGTCACCAAATGGCCGCGGAGGAACAAAATGACAACAGAGATGTAAAATCACTCCAATGAGGTTACAAAATGGAACGAAAGACACAAAACAACCAGAAAGAGTCCGAAAAAAGACAGAATAGAAACAAAATCTTAAATAATTCTCCAGATCTGCATTTTTCTTATCTGTAAAGAAGAAAAAACATCAGTAATTTCTGTTTACCACCAACACCGAGCACCAGAATAATAATAAAAAGCAGTTTACTCGAATGATCCTTAAACATTACAGCTTTCACCAGACTTGCTTTACCCCCGTGAGGTGTAAGTTACGCTCATGATCTTCAAGGACTTTTTTAGGAGATCAATTTTCTCAAGTCTTGATTGTTCAGGGTTACAGCTGCCTCACGTGATCAACAGTTATTACAGCTTCACATCTGCTGCTTCTAGAAGAAGGTACATCAGGCTGCTCTCTTATAAAAGCCTCGCCAGGGTGGATGGATCACCGTGTTGAATTTGGCAAAGATTTTATGCTGGATACCCTTTATCTGGGCTTGGGACCGGTGCTAGCTTGTGACTATGCGAATGTGTTAACCACAAGACCGCACACTACACAGTTCACATGACCTATGATATATTTAGCAGCTATTTTAGTATAAAACACCAGGGATCCTTGCTAAATGTAAACTTTGCTTTCAGTGTTCTTTGCAGTTGCTTTATGTCTCTCTGTGTTGGAGAAAGAAAAGGCTTTTACGTGTCTGAGCCCAGACTGGCTCAAACGTGTCTCATACAGTAATCCTTCCAAGCATACAGCATAGGCGCACATTTAAAAGCTGAATAATTCATTCATTTTACAAAAAATACCAATGGGTGTAAAAAGAAAAGAAACACATACAAAAAAGAAGGGCAAAACATATTCATGCTAGATGTTTTTCCAGCTGCTGCAGACAGCTCCCCTGATGTGTGGCAAGCTTCACTCAACATAAACAGTTCTTCCATCAATAAAAACTCTCTTTTCCGTTTAGTTTTATTCCAGTTTTCCAATCTGGAAATGGGAACCCGGAAATACTTTGGAATCATTTTATTAGATGTGATGGTGTCTTTAAGCTCCATTCATTATTTACTTATTTATTTTTTTTGTACACAATCAAAATTAATAAAAATGTCTTTTAAAAATGTCACTTCAAATAATGGATGGAGCTTAAGAATGAGTTCAGAATGAATGAGGGAAGTCTATAAGTAAAGCATCTGTTAAACCCACAGTTATCGGGTTAACCGTTTGTCCATGTGGGCAGACATCTGCACACCAATATGGCTTCCTCTGCCAGTTAAAGCTTCACTCGATAAAGTCTGTGAGTTTAATAAGTGTGTAGAAATGTCTTCATCCGCAGTGTCTCTTCCACTGATAACCTGTCGTGGTAGAAGCTGAGTCCGGTAAGGAGCTCGATGTCTCGCACTCGAGCGGTGTGGAGCTTCAGCCAGTCTTCCACCCACGTCAAGTCCGTCCCATTCTGAAGAAAAGCAGAAAGTGGGGGAGGCGTATATTAAAATTATGCAGTATTAAGAAGGGTCTGACAGCAGGTTTCCACAGAGGCAGACTGAAATAGACTGTGCAGAAACATGTGGGACGAATGGTGTTACTCACAGCGCAGCTCTCTGTGTGGTCGGGCCTGTGGGGCATGATGAAGGACCTGGCCTGGAGTGGACCTGCACAGTTCAGAGGGCCAAAGGTCGAATCCCCGCAGCTGGTCAGGATCACAAAGAAATGTGTCGGGATGGGAGCCTCGTTCCTGCAGAGATGAGAGATCACACGTAATCAAAGTGCTGCAATGGAAAAATTGAATACCTCAGTTATAAAGCCTCAGGTTAAAAAATAACCATCGGGTGTATTTTAAGTCCAATTTCTCTCATTTTACATCTGAATAGATTTTGGCATAAAAAACATGGAAGGATGGGTCCATCTTACTTCATTTCAAGAGTTCAGTGTCTTGGTGGTGTAATGATGAAGGGGATATTTTTTGGCACACTTTGAGTATCAACTGACAGAAGTTCTCACTCCCAAAGCATAACATTTTACGCTAGGTGACAAATCGTTGGTATATTATGCTTTCGGCCACCCAATGCGTCCTTATATTACGAGTTCGGAAATATTAGAAATAGGAGAACCGTTTGGAATGAATCTACACATGTACGTGTATTTGACTTTAATCTAACACGATTAAACACCACAGCCTACCCGAGTATTGTTGCAGACCATAGCCATACTTTATGATCACAGTGTACTATCTTCTGTTGGCTGCTTCCAGCAGATCAACTCAAACTGGTTTCCTGATCATCACCTTGAGTTCACTATACTCAAATGGCCTCCACAGTCATCAGATTTCAATGCAGTAAAGCACCTTTATGATGTGGTGGAACGGGAGATTCACATCTCTGACCCTTTTAGGTTCTGAAGGACATTTCACCTTTTATTTGAAAACTGAAGGAATCTTTCTCAAGAAGCCTTTTTGGATGAACTGGCTTCAACTCAAGTGCTCAAGACTTCTTAAGAATTGTCTGCATGTTGTATAACAAACAGTCACAAAGCAACCCACCAAACGTCATTCAACTCTCATTGTTTCCAAATCTTGATCTGAGTATAGGAGTATATGACATCACATGTTCCAGCCAGCATGAAGTATTTAAGCAAAAACCGAGAGCTATTAAAGGGGAATAGCCAAATTTAGTTCGGCTGCAATGTGTGCTACTGCGTGAGCTATGAGTAACCCTCAATGTAACCCATGGGTTTCTCAAACACTTTCTCAAGGTCTTTTGAGTTTTTGGACAATTGTGCATGTGAAGGCTGCATCAATTCTTTAATTCAAACAAAAACGATGCAATGAGTTCATTTATGCACTTAAATTAACATCACTGGGGGGTTGGGTGGAGTGAGGGTGGGGTGTATTGAACCAGTGCACAAAGCTAATGTGCAAAATGAGCGCGTCAGCCTTTAGGCACATTAGGTATAATATGCATATACTGAGACATACAGATAAAATATATTATAAAAATTCAGTAACTTAAGCATATGGCCAACACAATGCATATACATATTTTGTTATATATATAAAAAACACAACTTTTAAGAGTCTACACTGTTTCTTCATTTTCTGAAACTCTACAACTATTTCTTAGTTTGGAAGAGAAAAAACTGGAGACGTTTGAAACCCACGTTTGCTTATCAGTCACTACATGTCCTCCTCCGAAATTATCATTCTCTTATCACAAACCCTTCTGCAGAAGAAAAAGGATACCTGATTAGTTTACCATTAAATAACAGCTCAGAGGGATTACTGACATTGTGTTCAATGCTAACAGCTAATGCACCATTACATGCAGGAGGCATTCCTGGTGTACACAAACAGTCATGCAATCTTCATTTTCAGATGCGTTCCAATGGACATATAAGCTAGGATATTTTGTTTGGCCTTCCTTTGGACAGGAGGCAGGAAGGGCAGAGCTTGAGTTAAGCCATGTGCAAATGTTCTACCAAAACTACCAGGGATGTTTATGTAATACATTGCATTTTAACATCAAAACTTTAGTCTGGATAAAGCCTGAATGTAGTTTGTAAACCCTGGAAATTAATGTCTACAGCAGCACAGGTATTGCATCACTTTAGAATTCCCCATCAGATCTCATCTAATTGAGTGTGCTCAGCTGCCTGGACACTGATAGTCAGTTTTACACATGAACTATGTGCTGCGTTCCTTAGATTTTATCTGAGTACCGGTTTATCTTACGATGGCTTTCTGACATTTTATTTAATTATTTGTTAATACTTTTGCTGTGTGGATCCATATAAACATTAAATGTCTGGTGAATGTTCTCAGTTTGAGGACACAACAGTGAGACTCAGTTTGGTTTGGGTGAGGGAGCTGCCTCAGCCAGAAAACAGAATGACCATTTTTTTAGTAGGAAGCTGGAAAATGACTAATTAGTGGTGTTGGGTGTAACTCATTCTAAAGTAGAGCACTAATCTGCAATTAATCTGTAATCAAATTACATTTTTCTGCTTTGTTTGCTTGCTTGTTCTTCATATGTCTGCATGACTGGTGAAAAAAGTAAAAAAAAGAAAGAAAACAGAAATAGGAAAAAAAGGCCAAAAACAAACCAAAGGTGTCCTTTTCCTGCACGTCAGCTACCTGAACCTGACCTAAATTGCTTGGAGGGTGAAGTAAAAATAAATAGTGGGCTCTCCAACTTCTGATTAGTGGCGATTAATTTAATTTTTATTGTGCAGAAGGACAAGAACATGATGGTAAAGTGCAAACTGTGTCCAGAAGCATCCACAGTTAAATAACATAACACACTTTATGTGTGTGCCCTCATTAGAATATGGATTTGTAACACATTGCTCACATGCACCTCACTCAGGAAATACAAAAATCAAAATTGTTGTTCATGTGTGAAGATGAATATTGTACTAATGTTCTCACTATTAGAAATCCTTCTTGATTTGCTTCAGACCTGCTGTGTCTGCTAGAGGAATAAATGGAAATGTCTACATAAGCATTTTTGCAACACAGTTACTTTCTTAAGAACTAACTTCAAAACGAAACTGAAGTTGCAGTTTTCTTTGGAAATCTTTCTTCATTGGATTTACATCAAGGCCAAATGGAGACTCTTAAAAGTGAGTCACCACTTAAGTCTTTTTTAATAACACCTAATAAGCAGTTGTAAAGCACAATAAATGAAAAAGGCTGAATTTAATCAGACCATTAAACTGTCAACATAAAAATATGCAGTTTCTGACAACCAAATGACTTAACTGCACAGTGTAGCAACAGTCAATGTTATTTTGCTTCTGTCTTACCCTGATATCTTTTTTAATTCATCGACGTGTCCATCATAGTCTTTATCGAATATTGGCCCGCTCATGACGTTGACTCCGTTCAGCTGCTGTGAATATTTTGGGAGGAAGACGTCATGGAAATGCGTCCAAACGGCTGGGAAAATACACACAAAAAAAGCTTTAAGTGCTCCACTGTGTTGTACAGAAACATCACTTTATTTTGCTTTTTCCCCTTCATGCAACACATGCTAAAGTAGGGTTGCCAACTCCCTGAAAAATAAATAAGGGACACCTCGTGGCCAGGGCCGGGCGACCCAGTTGTCTTCACCCTTCCCAGTGTGGTGAATTTTCTAGCTCTTTTTTTGTGTGTGAAATTATTTTTTTAACCATTTGACTTGAAGTTGATTTAAGTAGATGCATATTCTATTCTTTGTGATATGAACACATGTGAAACAAATGATCATTTAGCCATTTATTTTTAGCTCAAAATGACAACATTAACACAATAAAACAGGTCTCTTTCTTAAACAGAAGCCTGTCATGCTTAACTTTTGAGAATATAAGTAAATCTTTCTTTAAAAGAACTCTGTCCTGCTTAACTTAAAATAATAGAAAACAATAGAAAGAAAAACATTCTTGTAACAGTGCACATTTAGTGCATTTAGTACAATTGGCTTCAGTTGAGGTATTATTTCAGCTTTTCTAATGCTAATCAGCTGCTCCTGTTTGTAAACCCGCTTGTTCCCATGATTACGCATCATAACTCATCATCATTATTCATCTATGTATTACTTTTATGTATTAGTCATCTATTTGTTGTAATCATCTATCCTTGCAGTTGTTTATTACACAAAATAAGTTATATTATCACACTTCTGGCCACATAGCGCTGATATTCACTGCACATGCCCATATTAACTTTTTCCAGCCAGGTGTTTTCCTTTTCCCATTCTTCCCTTTCTCTGAGGGGAACAAACATTGCTGCTCTAATGCTGGGCTTACACTGTGCGGTTTTAGGCCCATTTTGAGCCGATTTTTGAGTGATCGGACCGATTTTGGCCTTCATCGTGCGTCGTGTAGTATACGTGGGGTAACGAGAAGGATTAACACCTCACGACCAGCTCCCGATCATCAATCGCTCGTGAGGGTGTCACCACAGGCGCTCACACTGCTCACGCGCAAACACGTAAACGTCGGTGAAAAAGACGGAGCAGCACGGCTGTGCAGCGTGTGATCTGGACACAAGCGATGGAGGCACAACTTGTAGAACTTTGGAAAGCTCATCCGAGCCTTTTCATGTGGCATCACAAAATTATCACGACCACAACAACCGTGAAAATAGTTGGATTTACATTGCTGCTCAATCACAGCTGCCTGATCAATGTTTTTCATTAGCAATTTAGCAAAGTTGATGGTGGTGGTGTGTCTGTGTGAGTGAAAGACAAGAGAGAGCGACAGATTTTCTGTTATAACCTTCATTTATGGAGCACAGTGTGAGCACTCAGGTCGCATCAGAGCATCGGGCGGTATAGTGTGAGACCTGCATCGTGACCTACAACTTCTAACCCCTGCGAGTCAATCGTGCAGTTTGAGCAGGAGCTGAATAACGTGACTGAAAAAATCGCACAGTGTCTGCCCAGCTTTAGGTGTACTGTCGTCCGAGACTTGCACCGCAGTGTCGGCGTTTGTTTCCCTGTTGGCCATGCTTCTTGTTGTGGTCATCTGTTGTCTTCCGGTATTTTCTCCGTAAGCGACCTTTCCTCGACCAATGAGATAAGCGGTAATCTGAATTGTCATACTCGAATTGTCATAAGTGTGCTGTCAGCTCATTGGTCACAAAGCAGGAGAGGGGCTGGGAATTATGTTTTCAAACAAAGTGTTAATTCCATAAACATTTATAGACTACTTTTGATTCTCACTGTATTACGGGACAAAGTGCGTCCCTTATTAGCTCAATACGGGACGTTCCGTTTTTTTAAGGGACGGTTGGCAACCCTATGCTAAAGTGTTTGTCTGGTCTTCATTCGTGTTTTCCTCCCTTCTCACTCATGCAAAGCCACCAGGGGGCAGCATCTCCCAACTGATAAACATTCTGCAGCTTGTTGTCAGGATAAAACTCAGTTCTGCAATATCTTAATCACCCAGCACAATCTACAGGTTTCAACAGTTCTGGGTTGGCTAACTAACCACAGAGTGAAATTACCAGACCACCATGGAGGTACATATTCTTTCACATATGACAGATGATTTTGTAATGCTGTAAAGTACACTGAGAGCAAGTTCAGGCTTCATAATCATGTAATCCAGCCCATTTAAGTCATCTCTACATAAAGGATGAAATATGAAAAGCAGCAAGCACTGCTCCCACTAGGTTATATCTGGGACTCTCCACCATTTGACCTTAGAACTGAAGAAGCTTCTCGGATGAGAGAGTGAAACGTCTTCAAGCAACTTAAAGAAGTCCAGACGCTTTTCTTTGCAAGCTCCTTTGACTACGATGACCTGGATGACTGAGAACCTTCACAGACATATGAAAGCAAACCTGCACAGATCCTTGACTGAAGAACCTACATGTGCTCCTTTGTGGAGCACAGTGTGGTGAGTCACTTTACAAACATACTGACTTTCTGCTGAATCCTGCTGTAAGGGAAACACACAGCATGCAAGCAGGGAAACTAACCCTGGAACTGTTCCACTAACTAAACCTTCGATTGCGTTTTACAGAACAAGCTCAAGTAAATTAGGGCGGCGAAGTCCCACATAATTACATCAGTTAGATCTCTGGACTTGGGATGGGATAAAGTATAGCTTGCTGTCAGCTTTCAAGCAACTCAGGATAATTTGAAGCAATGGAAACTGGCAAACCGCAATACCTGCTGTCTGAAAACTTGAGTGCTTGACCCATTTAACAAAATCGAGCCTGTCTCAAAGATCCAGAGAGCTGTTAAGCCGACTCATTCAGTTGTGACAGATCTTTTAAGAAATGTTGAACTTGTGAATCACTGCTGGTCTTTTTACCGGTCTGGGTGCAGCTGGAAAGTTAGAAACAAATAAGCAACTGACTCACCTTTAAATGCAGGGAACATCGGTGCCATGTTGCTCGTGATTAGAGAGTCTGAAACATTGGCACTCAGATCTATAGAGGAAATGAGAGGTTAGGACAAACTGAATTTGCTGGGCATGGAATTTGGCTATGGATTAAAACTTAGATTACATGTTGTGAAGACTGATGCGTCTACTGTGAAACTAAAGCATAGCGATTTACTGGCTGAGAAAAACATTTACAAATTAGTGGAGTTGAATGCAGGCAGATTTAGGGCTTCTTTATTACATCTCCTGTGACTTATTTTAATTTTAATAATCGCATTGATGTGGTGTCAGAAGAATCGGAAATTGTTTTTTCTCATGCTTGGAAAGCTGGCGTAAAAGTCGGCAGGAGCTTCCAGGATCGCTGACTCAGACACATGGCAATGAAAGTTGGTATTTGGTTAATTGTAGGATTTTAGCCCTGCGACAGACTGGTGACCTGTTCAGGGTGTACCATGGCAGCTATGATAGGCTCCAGCCCACCTACAAAGTAGGCTTGGGGGAAAGGATTAGCTAGGTTGGCTAAGCGTTCGACCTTGACCTTCATTGTTAGCATTCAAGGTCAAAGTTGAGCTTGGAAAATTTCTTAAAACTTTTCAAATTTTCCACTAATATTTCTTAAAATCTCAAGGTTTCAGACAATTCTGCTCCAATCATATGGCTACAGATAATAAAATACACAATTTTGGTTTGTAATGCTGCAAAGTCATAGTTGAAAGGTCCCACCCCTCCTCGTGAAAAACAACAAAATACAAAAAACCAAGAAGCAAAAAAACAGACTGATCACTCAGCATGTAAGAAGAACATCATAAAGTTTTGGTATAGCCCTTGCCCTTTGGGGGGAGCTGTACCCTCTTGTGTGCTCTTGTTTGTACTGGTATTGGTTTGCCCAGATTACAACAGAGCTAAAACAGATTGTGTTTAAGACTTGTTTAAGCAGTAAAATACTACACGTCACCTTTCTAACATCCACATTGATTCCACATTCCAAACACTTAAACACAACACGAAGGGTCATGTAGGAGCTGCAAAAGGCAATAGCACCCTGAATGGTTACCAGCCTGTTACAGTGCTAATGCAGAAAGCGAGACAACCACACACTGACAAACATACAGCCAATTTAGAACCACCAATTAGCCTAATGAGCAGGTCTTTAGACTGTAGTGGAAAACTGGAGGACCAGGAGGTCTGAACTGTGGTGAGGCGACAGTGCTAATGACTGCGTCTTACCTCCAGAAAAAGTGAAAGTTGTTCACATTAAAAAGTTGCTACATTAATTCACTCAAGAGAAATTAATTGATTAATTAATCTGCTATCACTGCTATCGCTGTGCTCACTTTCTACCAGAACCAGAGGCAGATCAAAGGTTTCATGTTGGCCAGCTTTTTCTGTTAACCCTGGAAAATCTACCACAAACTTTGTGTGTTCTTGTCTCTGAACATCCAAAAGACAGATATACAGAAACAGATAAATAAACATTCAATCCGCAGAGTGTCACTCAAGAGGAAGTGGATGCTTTTCTCTCACGCAGCTGTGAAGCATATGTTTGCTCTGTACGTGAAAATGTGCTCTGAAACATCTCGACCTGACTTCAACACAGGCTGAGAGGGATGAACTGTCTCCCTCAATACCACACACATGCAGGTTCACAAACACAAACACTCACTGGGGGGATGCAGCAGGCCATAGGCAAGATCAGAGTTGTCTTTGTAGCGCAGACACTGCTGGCTGTTGTTTGCTGGGATGCGTACGTCAGCACGGACACACGCCTCCAACTCTGGGCTCAGAGGTTGCACTCTGGTCTGAGAGAGAGAGTAAGAGGTAGAGAGAGCGAGGATCAGTCAGTGTTGACAGTATAAGTGGGAGTCCAGACTAAAACGCGAGTGTTGTGTAAGATGGTTTGGCTTGGTTTTTGCTCTCCATGTGTATATAGGTCAGCAAGGGCATTGCTCTGATTCTGTGCGCACAGCTCCCAAAAAAAACCCCCAAACCAATAAATCACTTCCATCCTCTGTCACAGAGGGAAAAAAAAGACACATTTGTTTCCTCTTAAATTCTTGGTAGCACCAAGGGTTATATCATTTTGGAACAAGCTATGCAAAACATTTATATAATTTCAAAGAATAGAGTGCTAAATAGAAACAATGAAAGAAAGACATTTTTGGGTATTTCCATTTCCCAGAAAAAAGAGCAGCTTTAAAATATCCATCCTCTTCCACCTTTTCAATTCAGTGTCGCAGGTGACGACACGATTCACTCTGGACAGATTGCCAGAGAGACAGTAAACCATTCGCACTCACATCTGGATGTCTTTGGACTGTGCGAGGAAGCTGGAACACCCGGAGAGAACCCACCAAGCATGGGAGATCATGCAAACTCCACACAAACTCGGCACCTTCTTGCTGTAAGGCAACAGCGCTAACCACTGCTCCACCGTGCTGCCTCGCTTTGAATCACATACCGTTTACACCACGTCTACATAAAGATGCACTTTTGTGTTTTTAAACCGCATACAAAAAATCTGGGCAATCCCCGAAAGCGGTTTGGCCTTGCCCCAAAGACAAATCAGCACGAGTACAATGAAAATATTTTCTATTTTCTTAAGAAGGCAGCCCATCTAAGATGTAAGAATTATTAGACATAAAACGGGCAATAAGTCAATCAAATCAAAGTGACAAAAAGAACTAAACTGTGGAGATGTTTTAGACAGACGATGGTGTCGAGAAATTGTTAAAAGAAATCTGCAGTTTTTCACTGGTAAATTTTACAGTGGAGCCATAGTTTTACTCTTTACTGAGATTAAAGTAACACATAGTGTCAGCGCCTGTATGAACAGCTCGTGGGTTACAACATATACAATATACTTGTGGAAAAAGGGTTTTTTTCCCCCCAAGAGGCAGATGAAAGGAATTTTAAATGAGATCTTGCATTAAGCTAGAGGCCAGGGCCACAGATGTGAACTTGTGTAAGTATCTATAATAAATGAACAGCAAATTAATATTTAATTGCATGTAAAACAATTTTTTTTTTGCCCTTTACCCTTTACTTTTTTACTATTATTCCTCTTTGTCATACATTACGACTCTGTCCGGGAAACATCTTGGACGATATCTTAGTCACATTGTCCTTTTTTTAATAATAGGCAAACTAGCTCAACGCTAGCTTTTCATGGAAATGCTCAGCTTTGACAAGCTGCAAACTGAAGTTCTGTGTGGGTTTACAAGTGTGATGAAGATAATAGTGCTCAGTCACAAACAATCTGCAGTATGAGGGAAAAAATACAGATGGTACAATAAGATTCTCTGTTTTACTTCTATTGTTTAGATAGAGCTTCAATGGCTACTTCCTCTCTTGCACCATGATTCAGACAGTACAGTAATAGTCTCAAGTCTCCCGGGAATGCATCACTCTGCTTGAGGTCATAATTTACACTAGAGCTCAACCACATAGTGACAAAGACAAGAGAGACTTGAACCAACATGAGCAGAGAAGATGAGTAACAGCTGCTCAGAAAAGGGATTCAGATACTAAACAGCTCTGTGCAATCTGCTGCCAAACCATAACCACAGAAGAAATATAGCCGGAACGACTCAACTCTACAGGCTATGTTTAGAGATAAAAGCTCCAGCCAGCGGACTCACCAGAGGCTGAATGGTATAGGATACCCAGAGGGGCATGAGCCGGTCTTTGCTGTATCCGCTGAGGTAGTTTAAGTGGTGCAGCAGACAAAATGTGGCACCTGATTGGATGACTCGAGGGATGCCAAAAGGTTCGTGGAGGCGACGCAAGCTGGATTTCTCACCTGAAGAGAAGATGTGTAATGCGTATCAGACAGAAGCATCTCTAAAACCACCACATGTGCAAAGAAAAGTGAAATGATTCTCACTTGAGCTCAATGCCAAGAGATTTCCGTTCATTTGTTCCACCTGAAAAGAAATTCATCTTGTTAGCATGGTTGTGTTAGAAATAGCTAACACAATGTAACCACGTATTCAGTATATAAAGCTCTGATGTCAATGCATTTTTTAAAGTTCATTTTTTGTACATATCCCAGCTTCTCTAGTTTGAGAGTAGGATAGTAGTACTTCTATTACTCCATGCACTTCACTATGTGTTAATGAACTTCATCAGAAGAGACCAAGTAGTAACCACTGCCACTAACTACGAATCAAAAACCATAAATCCGGCGTACACCAGAGGCCTGTATTATTGATCATGGGGCTTAGTGAAGTAAATTCAAGGCTAACTCTGGGTTTTCCAGCCAACATCTACACACCAATCAATACACTGGAAAATAGTTTGTCCATTGCTGGAAAAGTCTAGTATTAGGAGGGCTAGATACTTTTTATTTCTCTGATGACCTTCAATCCAGCTTTTTTCAATTTTTCTGCAAGCAGGTTTAAAACAATTCTATTGCTCTAAAAGCTGTTATACAGCAATATAATCCAAACACAAGACTTCATTTAGCACAGTCAAAGATGAAAGAATAGGGGTTAAACACACCAAACAACACCATATGTTAGCTTCAGAACATGCAAATGCAGTTATAGTCAGATCCCCGAGCTCTGCTGTGTTCTCTCCTGGAGAATTCTCATTTTTCGCTGTGCACACAAAGAATGATTAAGTGAAGCACCAAATATAACCACCTAAAAGTCCACAGCAATGCCACTGTGGATAGAAACTAGTCCCAAAATAAGCCTGAATGTGTGTTACATGATCTTGTGATGTAGGAGTGATGAGCTGTTCTGTTTATTTACAAAACTCTTTGAAATTGAAATGTCCCAGTTATCTACCACCACAAAGCACTCATCAGCTGAAAAAACGGAGAAGAGTCTCAAATCTAACCAATGCATATGCATGTAACTGCACGCAACTACGATCTGTAAAAAGAGAACGCCTCTAATAGTTTTATATATACAGAAAGCTCTTGTATTTTATTAATGTGCCCATAAATAAAACAGCTTTAAACTTGCATTTGAGACACAACTTAATGTGCACATTTGTGGAGCTTAGTTGTCATGTATAACTGTGTAATACACATTTGTGACACTCAGACAAATATGCAGTGGGTATATATGTTGCTTTAAGCTAAAACCTAATGCTAGCATTAGCAATAAAATCCTTTAAAAACATAGATGTTTGGCACATCTTTGTATAGTTTAATGGGAGTTTACTGACAGAAAGAATATTTCATATAAAAATAAGTTTTAGACTAATTTAAATGTTGGCCAGGCACTGGTCCATAGCTGTCTAGTCAAAGAAAATTTTGTGCCCATCCATCTAGTAGGTTGACAATAATCTTAGGGTCTTTAAACCTATTAGAAAACATTCAGTGGGTCCCATAAATGGCTTTAAAAAATTCACAACATTTCACTCTAGTTGTAAATATATTTCATTCTTGACATTTGCATCCAGAGGCCAAAAATAAATCTGGTTAGCACATACCATTTCTGTGGTTTGGGATTCACAAGTGCACTGCAGGTTGTCAGAGGGGAAGAGCACATTAGAGTTACAGAGGATGTCGTGGGAGAGCTGTGCTGGGAGAACTGGATTATGGACGGGGTGCTTCAGGAGGTGGTTCAGACTACCGTGGGTCCCGTTGTTTGGAGAAGGACGAATGCCAAGAAGATCTGTTTGATAAGAGAAGAAAATGATTAATTAAATGAATGAATAGGACACATCAAATAAGACAACATGTCAGTGTATTTGAAATTAAAAGAAGAGTCACGGTTTCAAGAACAACAAATCTTTACCAAAGTTATCACACAGTACAATTATAAGAGTTCAGCGACTTATACAAATTTGCTTTGTTTCAAAGAGGGTGAGCCTTAATAGTCAGTTTATTATGTATGTTAAAAAAATACACCAGCAAAGAGTAAATCTGCCTAAATTCTACTTTTTTTAATTGATACTGCCTGAATTAATGGAAGATGAACACACACCTATTCTATTTTGACCTAAAGAGCCACTACTGTAGCCGTCATACACCGTATGGTTGTGTGTTCAGTTTGATTCTGACTTAGAGTACTGAAATATCCGGGTTACTCTATCTTTTCTTCAGTCTGGTAGATATGGTTTCCTTTTTCTAACACTTCTTTATTTTGGAAGTAAAACACAGACCTAAAACTCAGTGCAGACGAAGCATACCTGCTTCCTCTTCTCAAGTGTGTTAACTTATCTTTTAAAAATAAGCAGCTGTTTTTATCAATTTGATGAATTATGGGGTTAGTAAACTATGTTAGGCAAAGTAATAAAAATGAAATCAGATGACTTCTTGTAGACTTGCTGACTTGACTGTGTCTTGTGGACATGATTCATATGATGAAGCGATGGAAACTAATTATGTCACTGCAGAAATAGTTACACGTTCAGCAAATGCCCCGAGCTCAAGCCATTGCTGCTAGTGTCACATTTATCTGCTAAATATGTAGCTGCAGCATGCTTACCTTAGACAGAAAGTCAGCCTATGAGCATGTTTAGAGCTCACTGATTGAAACATTATATCTCCTGCAGTTTAAGACTATGGCATCAATTTAGAAGGTTTGTGGGGTGGACTAGTTCTCGGCTTTGATCGGTAATTCTTGTAGTCTCCTCAGCTCGCCTGGCAACCTCAAAGGGCTAACAAAACTTCAGGGTACAAGAGTAAAATAGATGTTCTCATTTAGCTCTCAGCATGAAAGTCAATGAGAGAATATGTCTAACGAAAAAGAAACGATAAAGAAAAAATATTAGGCTTCGTTGCAGGACAGGAGAAGAATGTGCAGTGAGCAGTGTGAAGGAACAATATAACTTACCACACATGAGGTTATATAATTCAATGTTCTCAAAAGTTGGCACAACTGTGCTGTGTTTAAATGCTGGACCGTAGCCAATGAAGATTGCCTGATGGAGACAAGCAAACAAACAAAAAACCAGGTAAGACTTTCATTAATTTCTCTTCAACCTGTAAAATAAACAAGTGCGTATATTGAACTATACGATCTACAGTTTGACATTTTATCAACTTAAAACCTTTAAATTGTTTTTGTACAACAAAAAGAGATCACTGAACACTTTAATTAGATAACGCATAAATATTTGAAAGGAACTAAAACAGTAAAATGACCTTACGTAACCTCAGAAGTGAAGGGTTTCAATTCTAGGAAAGCCTTGGATGGATTCACAGATATTTGCCTGTGATCTATTTCAAGGGCAGTTTGCAACTTTCCCTAGTTGTGTGCAGGCAGGCTGGCAACCGCTTACACAAAAGTTGACTTTTCTCGACCCTTTTTTTAGATCGGTCTGCAGTCTTGTAAGCTAATTATACTGAGTCAAATTCCAGTGTAAACCACGGCCGGAAGCATAGACAAAAATACCATAAAGACTGACATTAAGGTGGCAGACAGAAACACCTTTCTCAATTAAAACAAACTCAGTCAAAAGTTGATTGTGTAGGTGGAGAGAAATCCACACAAAATGTAATTACGGTACTTAGCTCCAGGTCTAGACATACCTAATGCATATGTTTCCTTTAGATTTGTTTCACTACAAGTACAAGTCTAATTCCAAAATCTGTGAGAAAACATGCTAGGGCAGGGCCGTGTTTACCGCTGTGTAGCATCTGCTCTTCTTTTAACAACAGTTCATAAACATCTGGAAACTGAGGACACCAGCTGTTGGACGTTGGGGAGAAAAACATTGTCCATTTCTTAACTGATATAGGATTCTAGCTGCTCAACAGTCGCGATTCTTCTTTGTCGTATATTTGTCTCACGATGTGCCCAAGTTTTTTTTAACCGGTGAAGTTCTGGACTACAGGCAGATCAGTTTAGTACCCAGAGTTTTTTTTAAAGCTCATCTATTAAGACATTACATCGTGCTTTATTCTGTAATAGCTGTGGTATGTAATTCAAAACCATCTTTCTGAAATATAGAAGCCCTTCCTTGAAAAAGATGTCATGGGAATGAGAGCAGATGTTGGTCTAAAACCTGTATATAACTTTCAGGACTGATGGTGCTTTTCCAGATGTACAAGCTTTGAAGCGAGCACACATAGCAAGCTGAATGGTCTTCAAAGATGACAGTGCTTTAAACCTGCCTTCTGTTCAAAAATCCGTCTATATGCATATTTAAAGCTCACTGATTAAAATAATATATCCTATTTTTTTATTTCCATAAACAAACTACAGTATAAAGATCACGTTGGACTAATTCTTAGCTGTGATCTGTATATGTAGTCATCAAAGCTCGAACATTACTTATAAAAGAAATCCAGAACAAATCTAATATTTTTGAGCAAACAGCAGAATATAACAAGATAGTTTCTTTTTCTACAATTGCAAACTCATAGCACGACTTGATTATCCAAACATGTGTGTCAAAACATTGTAAGATATGTGTGAGGTATTATGCGATGATTAAAATGGGAAAACCCACTGTTACAAGGACATCTCTGACACAACTCTTTCTGGGTATTGTGGCAAAGTGATCGTACAAAATGATCTGACTGGTGCTGTTAACACTGATCTATCACAGACAAAACGTGCATCACACTCACACACACACACACACACACACACACACACACACACACACACCTTTAAATTAAATTCCCCTGACCTGCATGTTGGTGAAGAGGTTATCAGAGCCGTGGAATCCGCCAGTGCAATACTTGATATCACTGCGTTTACTGAGGAGAGAAAATAAAATTTATCCGAGGGAAAAAACACAGAACAAAATAAACTCTGGAAGTCACTAAACATACTTCCCTTTTAGGTGTAACTGTATATTGTGTCTGCCAGCATTTTTGGATGATTGCACAAATTACATTCAAGGAAGCATCAGCAAAAAATAAAAATAAAGATATATAATATATGTCAGCTTGTTTCTTAAAAAACAGCTCTGCTAAGCTAAAAAGGGAAACAATAAAAAACATTCTGTTTTATAAAACAATATAATAATAATAATACGAGTCAAAACATCACACCTACATATTGAGGCTGCATGTAAGCGAATATACACAAAGGTAGTCCAGAGATGTTTAGTAGAGACATGAACGTTGTAGTTACAGCTTAACATATATGCTTCTATTCTCAGACTCATCGACAGCAGAATGATCTAGATGCAGGTCAGCATGACGTGTTGCTTTACGACAGGAGGTTTACACGGCCATGAGATTTCTATGATTTAATTTTACATACAGTTTGTTGTTTAAGTTAAGTTGTTAAACCAAAATGCACAAATTACATGCCTGTAAACAAAACTGTTAACTTAATTAGGTTAGAATTTAGCACTAAACTAAGCCTTTAATAGGACTAATAAAAAGTTTTCATGCAGCCCGACCTGATGAACTAACACATTAAAAATTAAAGAGAGTATCACTAATTGTTTACTTACAGTGCTGCTTGCCAGCCTGACTTCATGTAGAGGTGACCCCTCTCTATGCGGATGTTTTTAGCGAAGTGCATTCTTTTGGGAAGGTTTTCTTTGAGGTACGGCCTCATTGGCTGGTCAACGGTCCTGCACTTCAAAATGGACACAGACAAAGGGAATCAACACACAACAGAGAGAGAATGGGACTGTTTGACTTTCCAAGCAAGCAGATAATCTTTCATTCTTCTTATGAATACAAGAGTCCGATCTGGAATATTTCGCATACCGACAAGTTCTTCACCAGGCCCTCATAGTCAACTGAAAAAAGAAATACAGTACCAAGTCAGGCATGCTAATCTCCTACAAAGTGGCACAGAGTAATGATATAAATCTGGGAACAAGGGAATTCTGGTGTTTTTAAACAGGAACTCACAGGAAGAGTAATCCTGTGGGAGGCGACTTGGTCTGATGCGAGCAGCTGGGCCTTGGATTACAGTGAAACCAGAGGTGTCTTTCTGGAAATCTGACACATATGATGCCCTTTCACATGAAGCACTTTCCATGCCTGTTGAAAAGAAGTCATTTCACTAGGTTGTCTTCAGCAGGGCAACAAGTGACACAGAGAAAGGCACCAGAAGAAGTTCTTAAACAAAACCTTATAATGTTTAAGAACTGTTTAATGTTGTATAAAAGCTACAAAAGTTTGTAATTCCTCTGAAATACAAAGTTTAAAGCTTTCCTCAATAAAAGGGGAAGATTTGTGGCGTACTTTCCATTCATTTCTCGGGATTCACAGAGATTAAGTTTGCATTGCATGCAGGACGTGACATTTAAATTGACAGTGTAACATGTGTTGGCAATGTCTTTGGGTGTGACATGAGCACTCCAGCTAATTGCTTGTTTCTTGCCTTGCCAAGCTAGGGACTACCAAATACTAAAGTTAAAATTAACATCTTCTCTTGTAAATGATATGAAGCTAAACCTTTAATGAAGAACAAAATCTGTTCATGGATTTTAGAAAATGTACTTCTTCTCTTGGAAGTAATGTCTTAGACGAGGATATCTGGGCATCGCCCTGAGCCACATCCACTCCAACACACTGATCTTGAGTGTGTAATTACAGGGCTAAACATCTGGTCTCCAGCCATCCAAAGAAACCTCTTTCTCTAATACTGAGAACATTTTACTTAGTTAACATGCACATGACTTCTTTATTCAGTTCCTCAGTGGCAGCGGTCTCCATTCTTACCGACAGCAGGTACACTAACTGACAAACTGACATCAAGACTCAAAATAATTTCACTTTGAACTGCCAACAAATTAAAACAATTTCCAAGTCTCCTTATTAGGGTGTGTAACAGTAACATTTAATGTTTTAAGGTATCCAGTTTAAGGTTTCAGAGCTCTAATGTGCAGCAGTCATCCTAGAAATGAACAGGAACACCGAGGATGCTCTCAGTGATAAAATAATTAACTGGAATCAAAATGTTTGACTATTTTGTGTTTCAAATCCTAAGATTTATGATTTCTTGCAGGATTAATTGCTTGTCAAATTGCAGAAGTGTTCCATTTCTGCTATATTTCGGTCTCCATGTTATCATCATCAGCTGAGGACGTCACTAATTGGAATAAGAAGCATGTGGAATGCCCCTTTATGTGAGCGAATGGAAAGAAAGCCTGGCTATTTTGAATTCCATTTGCAATATACTTCTGCAATATACTCAGTTCCTCAAAAATGCTCAAAATATGTCCATTTGTATTTTAGTTAACACTTCAGTGAATCAGTCGTTTTCAGTATTTCCATCAGAAATTAAGCCATCTGCTAGCTTTCATAAGACAATGCTTCTTTTCTTTTAAAGTGTATTTCAGTTTAAACCGGTAATTTTCCGTCTCAGTCATCCCATGTAAACTGTATCCCAGCTGTGGAGAGTTGATATTTATCTCACCGTGGTCAGATGCGACTATTATGTTGACACAATTGTGCAGGTTTTTTGCTTTTAGGCCATCCATCAGCATGCCCAGAATCCTGTCCACCCTTTGCAAGGCCGGAACGATCTAAATGAATGACAGAAGTTCTAACAGAGTTAAAATGTTACCACGACTGGAACAACAACACTGAGAATCACTGTGCTTTTGCCATTCAAACGCCCTATCAACAATGTGCTTTAGATAAATATTTACCCAGCAAAATGAACTAACAGATTTGTTACCATAAGAGACGATCTTGACTATTTGAAGAGGTTTGACTTAATACTTTCAGTGGAATAAAATAACTATAAATAAATGAAAATAGAAAAACAGCATTACAGGTCCTTCGTTGTGCAGGCCGCAGTAAGCAGAGCTGAGTAGACCTCCCTTTCACCAACCACCACTTCCATCTCACCAGAGAGGTGCTAAAAAGGTTTTAATTCAGCTGAGAGACTCATAATCACTTCACAGCATCCTGATTTTATCCCAAGGGCCTACGTTCCAAAAACACCACACTTAAAAGGCATCAAGGAGTCATTCAGGACAGATGCCAGAATCAGGTGGTTGGTCAGCTAGCAACTTAGCTTCTCTTTAAACTGTTGAACAAGACAAGACATACAGTTCCAAAAAAAACAAAACCAAATGCAATCAGCACACTCACTAACACCCTTCTGCTCAAACAGTTTGTTATGGACAAACTCCCTTTAGTGCAGATGTCCTACCAAACAATCCATTGTTCACATCAGCGTCGAGTTCCCTCAGTTGAGGAACAGTTTTCAGTTGGTGCCCTAATCCTGAGCTTGGCCGGATTTCATGGATACAATGTGGTAAAATCTGTATATTTGTTCATCTGTATATCTGCCCGTCTGTATAGCAATATACAGCATCTGTATGCTATACAGATCATCTGTGTATCTGTATACAACAGTACATTTGTCTGTAGTTCATCTGTATATTTGGTCTCTCTGTACATAGTCTGTTCATAACTATTCCACCATTTATACTACCCTTATCTGTATATATCAGTATATCCATACATTTAGTAGCCCTCTGCTTATCTGTATATAATTGCTCTTATTGCACTTACTACTCTTGCACTTAGATGCAAACTGTATTTTCTTATCCTGCATTTATACATGTGTAATGACCATAAAGTTGAATCCTAATCCTAAAATGTGTTTATCCTAGTTAAAGCAGTTAAACACTTTTTTCTTCTTCATTTTGTGCTTAATTTGCCGCTCACCAGGACCAATTTACACTAGCAGGAGCATATTAACTGAAATCCCAGGCATACATTACACAACTGAGTGAACCTGTGATTGTAAGGCATGCTCAGTCAGCTGACGAGCACTGTCAGCACACAAATTTTCCATACAGAGCTTTCCTCTAATGATGTTCCCTTCTTTTACCTAGTTATTCTTTTAGGTAATCAATAACCGGCTTATTAATGCAGGCAAATAACTCACCTGCGTACTTTCTGGCCCATAGTAATGTCCTGTTGAATCAGGTTCATCCAGGTATAAAGTGTAGAAGTCAGGTCTAAAGGCAGAAAGCCAACAGTTACGAGTGATATAGAGAGTTTCCTTATGGGAACTTACGACATCATCTTTGTTATCATAAAGATGAACATGAACCTTTCTCCCTCAGGTAAATTGAGCCAGTCAAGCAGTGTTGACACTCTCTTCTCAAATGCAACAGACCTGTGGGACAAATGTAATTTATGAGAGCATCAATACAGCACTGCATTGAGCTACATTTTACACTTCATTGGCATTGAATCAGAAGCTTGCATGGCATTGCTCTTACTTGTCATACATCTTGTAAAAACTTGGGAGGGTGCCATTGATGGCTACATCAGAGCCTGGCCAGAAGAAAGTTGCTGATTTCAGCTTCTGATAGATGGCCGTGAGCCAGACCTGACGAGAGAAGTTAGGTGAGATAGAGAAATGAAAAAATGTATGAAATTAATAGAAACGAGGAGGAGAAAAGAGCGCCATCTAGACTCTATTCTGAGTGAGTTGCAGTAGAAAATTGGATAATTAATTTTCAGTACATTGCGGCACCAGTGTTTAGTACATCGAGCTAAAAGCGTAATCCCTCACAGCCCTGTCAAGTCAGAAGGCAACCTAAGAGTAGGATTTTATTCTAAATGAATACCCATTAGATCTGCAGGTAGATGTATTAGTTATCCAGCTGTCTCCTAAACATTTGGCTGATGCACTTAGCTGTATTGGTTCAAAAGTCATTATGAAAGAATTCTTTCCTACAGACTAAATTGCTTGACAGGGGTCATCCATCTCTCCTTCCCTCCTGAAAAGCCATATGGCAGCTGCATTGTGTAATTTCAAGAAGAGCACTTTGTCACACACTTGAGAAATGAGATTTAAGAGGCCTCTCATTTAAATGAAAACCACAAAGCATCTAAACAAGCACCACACGCAGCCCTCACAAGCTGTCACTTATTACGAGCTCAATCCATAATTATAATCAAGAAACTCCTTACAGGGAGAACCGATTCTCGGCAATCAAACTTGCTCACTGACTTGTGTCGTTCATAGACAGCAAATTACATTGTGATGAACACAGTATTTCTATTTCTAACACATGACTAGTGCGCTGACTTTTGCAGGACTATGAACAACACTGTCTAACTGGGATTCTCAGATGTGTGAAATAAACAGTATTCCCGAGAGCTACATTTTTGTGGCCATGTTCAACAGAACCTAAATTTCCTTAAAAGGATTTGTTATTAGCAGGTTTTACTTTTGGCCTCTATGAGCCTGAGCTTTGCTGTACTAATTTACCACCTTTCTACACAACAGATTCACTTACTGGTTCTCCTTGATACCACTGGGGGTTCAATTTCTCATCCGTTTTCAAGCTGAAGAAAGCATTTTGTTTCACATCGTACATCTTGTTGTCCACAATCCCATGAGACTCGGGATAAAGACCCTGCAGGAATAGAGATAAGATAAACCAAGTCACAATGAGCTGCTTTGATTCTGTGGCTGCAGGGATTTAAAGGTGATTACCTCTTCTCTCACCATCTTTCAACCCCAAATATTACAAGTAACCACAGCAGTTTATCTTAATTGCAGTGTCTGATTTCAACCAATAAAGGTGGAGTCAACGTTATAAGCGTCTTGCTGGAGTTGTTCTCCGTACGAATGTAAGCCATTAGGTCTCAACCATTCCTACCATCCTGTGGAAGTGTCATTTTAGAAAAAGCATGATGTTTACACTTCTTTACAAACAGATTTAGAGTTTGAGCTTCTCTTACTCTAAATGTCTGTTCCGTCTATAACAATTGAAAATAAAATAAAATAGATACATAATAATAATAAAGGTCAATTAAATGGACCAATATGGCAAGGCCATGATGATGCACTTGGTAAAGTAAATCTGCTAGGCATCTTTCTTGGCCTTCAGACAATAATTATGATGGCTAAAGATCCAAATAGGACAGGCAACCCCCCCCCCAAAACAAACAAGCAAACAAACAAAAAAATAAATAAAAATGTTTTGCTACTTTATTCTCAGTCACATCTGCTAGCAACCAAACTAAACAGAGAGGGGGTGTCACTGACCGGTGTCCAGGCTTCTGTGAGTGGGGCCCTAAGTACTTGGCTTCAAGCACAACTGAAAAAAGTTTAATAACAATAACTACTTAGTCACGGTTTCCGCGTTCACAAACAAGTATAATCCTGGAATAAGTCTATTAACTAAACCAGTTATTTTTATAGCTTTCTTTCCTAACTTTAAAGTGGATATGAAACACTTCATTTATAAAGGCTAATTTACATCATTATCAATTTATATCATCATCTCAAAAACTGACACAGATGTAAAACTGTCTGTGTCGCAGGATTTAAGAAATCCTATTTTTAAGACATGTTTAGTGTGATAATCTTTCAGTACAGAGCGTAACGTCACCGGATTGGTTGGTTTCTTGTAGTCAATAGACTTACATTAGTTTATGTTAGCTAACTAGTTACAGAACCGATAACTCAATGGAAAGCAAGGTGACTAAAACTAAAAATCTGTTTCAAGTGATCACTTTTGTGCTGCCTCTGACTGCAACAAAGAGTTTTATGTTAAAACTAAATTTATACTTTTCACTTTCACTGCCTCTTTGTTGTTTGGCTAGCTGGACTCAAATGGGAAAATCCAGCTGTTAGCTGTAATGTTTGGGTTTGTAAAGCATTTTATGAATGAGCACTGTGTGGAGGAGAGCCTTCAGATCAATCAGCCGTATTTTATGCATTAAACTAGTCTGTCTTTTCCCAACACATCCAGACATGTTCCAACATCACAGGTTTCTTAAATCCAGCTACACATACAGTGTTACATCTTTTCAGTTTTTGAGAGCAGGGGTAGTGTAAATTAACCTTTATACATCAAGTGTTTCATGCCCACTTTACATATATAGAGAATAATCCCTTTCAGTTCACTGACCACTGAAACCGAGGCATACTAAAGGCACATTCACACCTTTATTCAGGACTCTAAGGCTACGTTCACACTGCAGGTCTTAATGCTCAATTCCGATTTTTTGATCAAATCCGATTTTTTTGTCTGCTTGTTCACACTACAAATAAAATGCGACAGCAAACGCGCTCTAGTGTGAACGCTCAAAGCGGCCCGCATGCGCAAAAGAAGACGTCACACACAACGCGCTCTGTTTAGACCCAGAGCAAACAGTATTGTTTGACTGATGGCCCTTAATATAAAGACTTCGGACTTTACGTTTCCCAATTTTTGCTTTAAGTTATTTTGTTATTTACATAATAATGTAAATAACCTAATAATGATCCTTATTGCTGTTTTAGAGGAGCGGTGCTTCAAAGGATAGTTGCAGATTTCTGTCAGAATCTGCAGATTATACAGTACAAATAAAATGTTCACGTTGTCTTCCCAACAGTTTCACTGACATCTACACTGGATGGCCAGGAAGCGTTCGCGATGTCTTCTCGGGCGCTTCTCCGGCGCTGATAATTGGCGTCTGTCTTGTGTCAGTGACGTAAAAGAGGATTTAATGCGACATGACCGTTCAAACAGCAGTCGCTTTCTAAAACATCGGATATGTATCGGATTCAGTACCACATACGAAAGTGACCCAGATCGGATTTGAAAATATCGGATTTGTGCCGTTCACACTGTCATACCATGATCGGATATGGGTCGCATAGGGTCAAAAAAATCAGATTTGATGCGCTTTTGCCTGCAGTGTGAACGTAGCCTAACTGTAACTACTAGGTGCTTTTCCTATCATGCTGACTTACATGCTGCTGGCTTTGGCTGTGTAGTTTTCTCTTAGTAAAATATGCCATCTGCTCCCAGTAGACTTGTCATATGCTACAAAAACCATGTCTTATATGACCATATACTGGGTTTCTTAATCACTGCTAGATTATTGGCAGATTAAGAAATCCTGGGAAATGAATAACCAGTAATGTCATGTGGGTATGTTGAACGTGCTTTGTAGTAAGTGCCCCAGGTAATTGGGTTGGTCAGATCACATTCAAACTGCACACAAAACTGCTCTAAAGTTCATTGGAACAGTTACAAATTACAAATACATCCTTACACAACATGAGTTATTCATCATCACTGACCAAACACTGTTGCCCAGCAAACCTGTTTGTATTTCTCAATGAACAAAAAACACTCACAGTCACAATGGTGTAGTGGTTGGGAAAGGTCTTTGTGGGATAAACAGGCCTCAGGTATGGTGTTGTAGTTCCATTATTTCCTGCAATGTAACAAAGTCACATTGTTACCTTGAGCTGTAAATCGTAAAGAACTGTGAGACAGGCCATGTTTTTGACTTACGTAACTTGCTGATAACAGGCATGTGACTCGCATGTTCTTTCAGATACGCTGCCCGGAAACCGTCCAAAGACACCAGGATGAGAGGAGGCTTTGAAAATCTGGACAGGAAAAACATCTGATAAATACATTCTCTAAGGGGACGCTGACCTGTGTTTATCATTAATAATCTGGAGTCATCTCTTCGCTCCTTCTAGTGCCAAGTTTTTCTATAAGCAAGTCTAATCACACAACAGCATCTTGAAATGGCTACAGTCAGTCATTTCGAAGCATTTTTTAAATCAACTTTCATATCATAGCTCACTGAAACATAAAAACTGAACCAAATTTAAGACAAATGACAATTTAACTGACTTTACTTTTCCATCCGTGACATTTCAATCATCTTCTCTCCTCCTATCGGTTTCCTTTCCGTTCAGAAGTCTTTCAACATCATGTCCCTTTCTTAGAATGTCTGCCCTTTAACATTGCTTTGGTGTCAAGCCACTGAGAGCAAGAATTAGACCTGTGGCTGAATGCGCTGTACTATGTAGCAACGCTGGCATTAAACCAAAACAAGCTAAAAGTTGTGAAACAGACCTGGAGAAGGAAGAGTTGGTTATGATTTTGTGTAGAGTTGCAAATATGAAAATGTCTTTCATTTTTTATTGTTAATGTAGAATAAAATCATCAATAGAATTCAGAAAATCATATAAAAATAGATACAATTAAAGCAGTTTATTGAGGGTTCTCATGTGACATCATGCGGACATAGTTTAAAATTTGTCTGCCTCTGATTTATAAAGCATGTTTCACAGATAAAAATCACAGAGTGCTTCACAATAAAGCCAGAAAACTCCCCTGAAAAACATAACACTGGCCAGTTTGTGTACTGGTCGTCTATTACTGGTATTAGCTGTGTAGTTGTAAAATGTGTAAAAGTGACGCTAAGTGGAAATAGGGAAGGTTCAACTTCAAAGTAAAATATGTGCTTTTTGAAACTGCAGCACTATGGTAGAACTTTTATGCTGAAGGCAAACTTTCTCCATTTCCGGTTTGCATGTCACTTTTAAAAGTTTTACAATAGCTCCGAGAGCAAGCCCATCACACCCATTCAAACTAGCAGCAATATGCTAGTAACCAAAATAATCATAAGAAAGATTTTGGCAACCTGTCAGGAAAGTAAAAGTGTGGTGTATCCATAGAAACAATAAAAAACAACACTCATATAAATAATACAGACATTTGTGTGTCTTATTGTATTTTTCAAACTAAAATAGCTTCATCTGGAGCCGCAGGACCATTTTTCCACAGTCTGACGCGTCTGTCTGAGGTTACTCCCTCGCCAAGACAGAAACACAAACATGTGACCACGCTCTCGTGCAAACACACAGACACAACTCATCAACACATGCCTGATTACTCGGCCATTACCCCAGTTTCCATAGAGACAGTTACTTTTTCCCCAATAAAGCAACACCACTGGGAGAGAACAAGCCGTGATTCAGCTATTTACAAGATAAAAAATATGGACGTTAGCTGGGTAAGCAACCAGAGAGTGACAGAAAGGAAACTCTAGCCTGCTTTGTATGTTGATAATGTTTGCTAACAGTGAACAATGGTTTCTTCTCAGGGAAAATGTGGGTGATATGATTAAATAGTTCCACTTTCAGATCTGTGATATGTTACAACTTAGGATTCAGACAGAGGAGGACCAGAGCTGATGTAATCCAAAGGAGTCCAGGTGGAATTTGTGCATTCAATTTTATGAAAAGTAAATCTGTTTTCACATTGCTGAAGCCAAACAAAAGTATTATATTACCCAGAAGGACACTGTGGCTGACTGACTTCCTGAAAGGGCCCTTCCATCCAGACTTCCCCTCCTGTGAGAAAAGAACTGTGTTACTAAGGAAAATTGAGGTTTTCTATTTAATTCCAGCACACTTTTTGGGTTAAAGCAAATGTCAATAAATAATATATATTAACATGACACAGTGACCTTGGAAGGTAAGTTACTAGAACTGTTTTGACAACCACTTAGATCCTCAGTTTAAACTCTTACAGATTTTAAAACCTTTCATATAAATAACGGAATCTATGTTAAACCACAAAAGGACATCACCTGACAAGCTTTGAGGATATAATATGATTCCATCTGGTGGACAGCAACTAAAGCAATCTGTCAAGTTCACCCTTTAAATGGCACTGTTGAATAATTTGACTACCAGTGAAGAGGATGTGTAAGTGCAAAGTGACATTACTTTTTCATCCACATTTACAAGAAGACTGGAAGCATTTCGAGACAGAACACATGCTACGCTTTCATTTTGCCTCGGAGAAGATGAGATCACCATAGAAACAATCTTGGAAACAAAGAAGTGAAACATAACACATTGTAACCTGATGTATCCACACATGCACTGAAACCCCTCCCCCCCCAAAAACGTCATTATTTCACTTTATCTGATAAGTGAAATATATACAATGATGTTTTAAGAATGCATTAATTGGTTTGTTACATCAGGGAACTACATAACCTCTGAACACAACAGTACAGACTGTATTCAGTGCAAACTTTTTAGCCCTCAGCTGTTTCCTTACATAACAGGGCTTTCATGATATCACAGTTTCACTTCATGTCTGTCGTGTTGGATAATGACACCAGTCAGGAAAAAGACTCCTGGTTTGAATCTTGCTGTTGTTATTACGGTAATTATTATTACGGTAATCCCAGGCACGGTGTCTTAGCAGCTCCGTGAAGAGGAAGGTTGGTCCTCCCAAAACAACAAAAAACACAAAGGAAAAAAGCCGTCACTTGCTCTTTCTGCTGTGAGAGAGGCTAATACAATACTGTTGTTTATGCATCAGTAATATATGATTATCTCAGAGAGAGCTGCAAGAACAGCACTCAGAAAAAACCAAATATAAGTGTTGCTTCCTGGAGCTGTTAGAAAACAAAAGCAGCACTTAGTTTGGGAAAGACAATAGACAGTAAAACAATCATAACATTTATTCTAGTTGTTGTAATCAAATGCGAACTGAGAATACACTCTCAAATGTTGTAACGGTCTGCACAGGCTGATAAGAAACCTTCCTTACTCAAGGACTTTCCCACAGGCAAGGCATCACCAAGCAGGATATTTTGGGTCACCTCTTTAACCTTTTAAACATCTGCCTTCCTTATGCGTCCATCAAGTCCCCTGCTGTACTGACAGGGCATACGACAGAGGGAGCCTTAGCACATGGGTGAAAAATCCCCTCCTCGCTGCGTCGGGGCCAGCTATGTGGTTTGGACTTAACACGGGGATGCTCTGTCTCAGGAGACGGCTTTCTATGGTGAGTAATCGACATAAAAAGCCGCTCTCAGCATTTTGTACAACACAGCGTCAGCCTATAGGAACAAGTGGAGTTCTGGTTTATTTTTGTTTCTTTTAATCTGTTGCCAAAGGCCTCACCAAGAAAGCAGCAGTATGAAAGATGTGAACGTCCCAACAAAGCTGCACAGATGTAAGGACTGGTGAGTGAAAAGAAGCATTCTTCCCATATGCAAAGGTTTTATGTTAACTGAGGAGAAAATAGAGTGCAAGTTAAAGGGAAATGCCACAGGAGAGAGAGGACCCCACCCAGGCTGGGGACTGCTGCCCACAGTCATCGCCGCTGCCCCCTAAATTGGAGGAGCGTTTTTGGCATGGTGGTTTTCAACAAAGAGCGTACTGACACTGCTGCCCACGTCTAACTGGGGCGAATCTATAGCTGCAGAAAACATTCCTCTGTCACTTAAGAGGGTATTTACGACTTGTTTTGCAACCATGGACAGAAAAAACTAGCCTGCACCACCCTGACAAAAACATACGCTCAACCTATGCGGCGTCTTGGGGGTTAACTTTCACCTCTCTGTCTCTCTTTTGCTGCCTGGTTGGTAACTTTATCCTTCTCTACTGCTCCTCTAAATACTTCAAGTCTCAAGTTTCTGGAGGATCTGCAGCGGGATGTTAGGTGCTATACACAAGAGTGTGGAGCCTTGATTGTTATTTTACCAAGTGACAACCGCACCAAATGAGTTCTCGCTGAATAAATGCCAGAAATGTAACCTGAGATAATCTGTCTCACGCTCTTGTAGCCAAAGCACTCTATTCACTGTCCATGAGGAGTGAAAACCATGACTTAGACAAAGCTCAGACAGAAAATGTATTAATGTGGTACTACACAGATTTACATGTGAGTGAAAGAAAAAGCGGGTCAGCACTTTGACAGCTGCATATCGAAGGTCAACTCTGAGAATTCATTAGGAAAAGCAATTGAAATCCTCGTGAATACAGGGCGCTGAGGTCTGTATTGACATTCTTCACATTTCCAACACCAGCACTTCACAGACTATATATCTACTAAAGTAAAATTCAAAGATATCCTGCAGTAACAGACTTATGCGGATTGTTGTTTTGTTTCCTGCGCAGAAGGATGCACATGTGTGTTGCAGTGACACGAAGTCCCGCTAATATTTTCATCTTGTACCACTTATTGACAGCTGCAGCAGCAATATGTCTGGATATGCACCAACCAAAGGAAGAGGGACTGCAAGCAATCAAACGTGGCAGTGAAGAAATGTAGCTTTTCTTAAAACTGTTTTTGCTGTTTTGAGGAAGAAGATACACTTAACTTGTTTATTAAACCACAAGAACATGCATAAAGCTGTTTGATGAGAAACAGGGGTGTTAAATAAATAAATTCTATTAGTACTATGGAATATAGCCAGTCCCAGGCTCACTTGGCGCAATCCAAGGTGACCAGGCCAACATTATACCAGAGGCAAAACAGTTTCTTTAAAATTTAAATGTAATCCAAGCTGAATGAAAAATATGCTATAAATGAAGCACAAATCATGAAGGGAGAAGAGGGATGGGGGAGGGGGATTGGGGACTTTTCCAACAGCCATTGGGCAAGAATTATGAAAATGAGGAGGTGAAATGTACATTAATTTAATGCTGGTTAATTAAAACAGTCAATCTTACCTGATCCTTTCTCCTTTCTCAGAAAAATCACCACAGCCAGGATAACCACGAGTAAACACAGCAGCAGAACCTATAACCCAGAAGATAAAATGGCAAGATGTTTGTTAAAGCTGTTAGAGATAGCAGCCACTAATTTCACATTGTTTATTTTGAACTATTTGAACTTTGAGAAAAGAAAAAGGTTCAAGCACTACAAAATCTCGTCTCTCTCAAGAGAAGACACAAATTAACAAAACTAAATCACGTCCACACTCAAAGCTTCAGCGCTAGTACATCTAATACTTGCTGTTGTACAGCAAGTATTAGATGGGATCCTCTTCACCTATGACTAAATCATGCTGTTATTTTGCCTCTAAGTATCACTAACACGAGGCTGACATTACAGGCTCTTAAAATAATATTAATGGACCGATCATGAATAAATTTGTTGTATCCACAGTTCGCAGAGGAACCCAGCTGACTCACATGATCCTCTTAAATTTCCAAGTTTTCTTTTCAAAAAATGTGATGCAGCTGCAGATGCAGACTGAGAATCACAAAAACAGCCAAGCTACGAGACGGTCAAGAACAAACGGGCTCAGTGTTTCTCTGTACTTCACTGTCTTCAATTCCGTTTAAAAACTGTGTCTGGAAAAAATTCTTTTATTGAATCGTTTATTTACACTTTACGCACCAGAGACAGCATGCTATTTTTCCCCAGATCCTCGTCCAACAGGGGGAAAACCCCTGATCGGATTACAACTCTGTGTGCATTGTTACTAAACTACAATCATGTAAAAAAAAAGAAAAGAAAAAAAGAAAAAACATACAGAGTTTGACGTCTCCAAGTTAAAATAAAAATGTACATGTCTTATGCAACTTTGTTACTTTTTTACTGTTAAGAATTGGTATTTGGGGCCTGTTGAATTACACTAGGGTGGCAAACACTACTCGATCACCATGCTATTGTTTTCTGTATACTTCTAATTATGCTTACATTAGCTTTTAGCTCAAAGCCCTACTCCATTACTGCAGCTGAAGAGGTTTAGATACGTTGCTTTATTCAGTTATCCTTCTACCATCCACCGAGACTTCCATCTGTATCCTCACAGGCTCAACTGTTGATTTTAACAATTTCCACACCATCTCCATCTGTCTATATATTAGTCTCAGCTCTCTGCAGTTGGAAGTAGTGATCCAGAATTGTTTTTGTTTGTTTTTTTAAAAATCACAACCTTTCTGCCCCAGGACAGCAGCTCCCTGGGGGCGAGTGGTTTGTAATTAGATGGGTGTTTCAAAGATTACTTTACTTAGAAATGACAGTGTTTACCAGGGTTATCACGGATGCTGATTTTGAAGCGTCTGCAATGCCCCAAACCAGGCCAGTTACTCATTATGGCATTACAAATCTTCATTTTAAATGTGTCGCCAGATTTTAATATTTATTGTTCTGGTAAAATTGTGCCTTGCAATCACAGTTTTTAAAGAGTATAATATGTAAGTGCGTTATGGCTCATCTCCTTTTATTCCTATGACCATCTTATCACCTCTCTGCTGGGAACGCAGCTGCAAATATTTCCTTAGCACAACACAAGTCATAGTTTAAAGCAAGTCTCTTGTTCTCTGGTGTCACTTTTTGCTGGCACAAAGAGTCTAATTTCCTCTCAGAAATGATACATTTTTAATCTTTTCACACTGTTTCTGTAGTCTATTACTTTTAACTGAAAGGGGGAAAAAGCTAAACTAAAAAGTTCAAAAAAACAGGCTTAAAGTGGAAAAACATAAATTCTTCCTGGAGGAAAGATTTTACAGAGGATTTACAGTTTAAACAAACAAATCCTCAAGCCAAAACTAGTCCGATCCTCCCAAGCTAGAAAGCTACAGCAGTACAGCAGGAGTAATCTACTTAGTGTGATTCACAAGAGCTGGAATTCCTATACAGGTATGAAAACGCACTGCTGTATTTGGTGTCTGGGTACGTGCACTTATTTTCCCCAGCTATAGGTGAAAAAAACTGTAAACTTGGATGGGCTTCACAGAAATGCTTAAAGACGGGGTCTCTGTGGGTTGTGAAAGTAAACAGACTGTCTGGTGGAAACCTACTGGGCTGCCTGAAACACGCTTTAATATTTATTCAGACCCCCCACCATGACCACCACTCATTTTCCATTGTCTACAAGAGAATGATGTAAAGGTTCTGAAATTAAACTACAGATGAAAGTCATCTTCGAAGTGGACATCAAAAAAAGGCTATCCAAAGACACAAAAACTCTTTCTAGGGAAGTGTCATTCTAGTTCAGGGGTGGACTTAGACACAAAAGCTAAGGGCTACACATCAAACTGCCATCATGTGTGGCCTTATGACATGCACAAAGCTGAAAGATATGGTAGATATGACAAGCTGCTCTCGCATAAGCCTGGATCCTTGATCCAAAAAAAAAAAAAAACAACAACTCTGCTACTTTTCTGTGTTAATCAGGTGCACAACTGCACAACTGAAGCAATCTAGCTTCTCAGGCAGCAGGGCAAAAGAGGAACTACCATAGAAAAAACAGTTTAAGGTGGGTGGAGTTTGAACAGATCTATGTGGTGAAGGAGTGGTAGACATTCACTTTATTATTCATTGTCATAAAGTGTTAGTGGGTACTCAAGATTGAGCTTTTACTTATTTTTGAGTTATTTTGGGGTTTTAAGACATTAGGGATGTATTGCAAAGTAGTTACTGCACCATTTTCTGGTAAACCCATTGAACTAAAGCTTACAATCTGCACTTAAAACACATCTTGATTGGTTTAATTTAAAATCCACTGTGGTAGTGTACAGAGGCGAAACTACAAAGTCATGCTATTGTCCGAATTGTCGTGGACCTTAAAAATGAGACCTTGTGTGTGTCTAATTGGTATAAAGCAGACAGCATCTGGTTATTGTGGTGTCGAGCTGAAGGTCGCAAGTGAATAGCTGAAAGGATGCGCACATTCTCAAATGACTTCTTTGACATGCAGTTTATGCCTCAGTGATGAAGGAGATCACGAACATTCCAGACATGTTTAACTTTCCACTTCCAACTTAAAAAAAAATCACAATTTATTTCACTATATTACAGCAAGAAACATGTTTTTCTGATATGACTATGACCGCAGCAATATAAAACAAGTCCATAAAACATAACGGTATTTTTCTTTACAATTGCTTCAATTATGTTTTTTTCTGTAAAGACTGAAACACACTCCAGATTTAGCCTCCACAAAGACTAAGTGTGGTTAGTTTCAATGCCCCGAGGAGCTGTGAACAATAAAAGCTGCTGTTGTTTTCTGAGACGTTCCTTCTGTGATAAAAATACTGTTCTGGGGAAAACAAAGAACAGACCCAGCAGATTAAAATGTCCATTCCTGCCAGTGATGGAGATAGCCAAGTATTGCGTCAAAGTTCGCACAGCCTGTCTTTTGGTCGACATATTTTTAAACCTTTAAGTTATTATTTTTCAGATTTAGACTAATAATTCAATATACATATTTACCAATGCTACATTATTACAGATTACACCTTAAAGCGCTACCAAAGTTTTGATCTACTGGGCCAGATGTGGGGATGTTACTGGACACTGAAGATTATTGATCAAGTCAGAATCTTAAAATTAACAATGTGTTTTGTAAGAGAGTCCAGGGTCAAGATGGGCCGGTTTAAATGAGTCTGTTCTTGATGGTAGCACAAGAAGAACAGGCCAAGCCGTGACAAACGTCCACATCCACCTTCTTTCACTGTTTAATTCAGGTTCTTGGGCGGGGTGCTGGAGCCTACCACACATTTCATAAAAGTTAGAGGTGTGTTACACTTTGCACAGATAGCTAGTTTATCTCAGGAACTGCCAATCAACCCAACACACATCTTCATCAGTGCTGACTATCACAGCACTGTGCCTGTCTGTTTGTTGAACAGTCTTGCATTAGAGTAAAACAAATATTGCTCAATTATGTGAGAAACTATTTGCCCAATTAGTCAACGTTATAAATAATTATAGTTATAAACAACTTCAGCTACTACCTGTGCCTCTGCACGGTAACATCTAGAACCACTAAAACTACATCAAAACAAAGCGCTGGCAGGACGACTCATTTTCCAGCTGCCTGAATACACCCAATATTTTGCTGAAACGACACTTTGGATCAGAGTCAACGTTGTGGGGTCAGAGCTCCACCCAGCCCTGCTTCACACTAACAACTGCAGGTCTTGTCCACCTGCAGAGAGCCTGCTGGCCTGTGTCTGTTTGCAGTGGAGTGAAAACATTTAGTTTCCACGTTCACGCTGGCAACACTGACAGTCTCGTCTGTGTGGCAGCTGTGAATTAATGACAGTGTGAGTAAACAGCGCAGAAATGCTGACCCGAGGATGTGGTTTTTGATCCCTGACGATGGTTCTCTTCCCCTAGTTAAACATCACACAGTGCCAGTTAAGGTTAACTGTCTAATGTTTGACAAAAATTATACATTAAAAAAAAAAAAAGGACTAAGACTCAACAGGGCCCAAAATGACGCCTTCAAATGTTTTTTAAACCCCAGAATCCAGTTTGCAATTATGAGACAAAAGAAAAAAGATGGACATCTCTTCATTTCAAACAGGGACAGATGATTTTTTCCCCCAGTATTTCTTCTAGAGGACAAAAGACAGCAGCTACTTATTAATCAATAATATCATCTATAATAATAGTGTCCCTGACACTTTAAGGGCTTCCCAATTTAAAAGTCACATTTAAGACCATGCAGTAATATGAGTGGCAGGAGCTCAGACACATACATTAACTATAATGTGTGACTTTCACACTGCGGAAGTCAATCGCTCAAAGTTGCCCTCCATGCTGCCAAAGTGCAACTGAACATACCCCAATAATGATTTTACGGCGGGTACTCCTTTTATTCTCATTCATGCTCCTCTGACTCTCCACCTCTCGTGTCCCAAATAAAGACGCTGCCTGTTCCGCCGACCCGTCCTCTCCTTTGGTCACTTCCATGCTGCTAAGCGCAAAAAAACAAAAACAAAAAAAGGACGCCTGCCAGTGCTTTCCAGGTTGAACTGATTAGCAGGATGGGATGCAGCTCTGAGGAATATATAGAGGGGAAATGCCCGCCTTTCTGACGTCTTCAAGTTTTTGCAAAGTGGCTACATGTGTTAGATCTAAGGGAGGAGGAGGATCCAAGACTAATAAAAGCAGAGCAGAAAGCAGAAACTCCCCCTTATTCTGACTTATTTTCCTCTAATGTGGCGAGGAAATAGTACTTTACCCACTTTAAAGCCAATCAGAGTCACTTTAAAAGAAAATAAAACCCAGACACATTCAGAATACGCATGCCTCAGACGTATTATCACGTCTAATTTCTTTGATTTAGGACATTGACTCGAAATAAAAAGCAAACACAGATACAGTAATTACGGACTTTCTATGAAAATCCATTATAAGGTCGTGGAGCTGCCACCATCTTGTGGCCAGACTTAAGTGGTGCATTAGGTTCTAGTTCGAGGGTTGAGTCCCATGCAAATATTTAAATTAACTTTTTAAAAAACCCAGTTCAACACATTTTCCTTTCCTTAAATAAGAATCTAAGGCTTTTGGCTTGACTATAGTCTTATTTAATTTCACTTACCGTTGGCAAATTTGAGCTTGGCGTTAGTGACTGCTTGCTAAAAATTATCCACTGAAGGAAAAATTATCCACTAGAGGGCGCTGCTCCACCTCTTCTATTCTTTCTTCTATTCAAAAATAATTTGGTCAACAAAAAGAAATAACAGCCGATTACAAAAGATATTCGGCCTCATATGAAAACATAAATAAAATTTGTATTTTGATAAATTGTAGTCCTGCTAGAAAAAGGTTTGCATGTAGCATAACAGCATTAAACTCCTTTAATATAAACCTCAGGCAACCAGAGCTATTTTCAGAGTTCCTTCCATGAGCTCTGTAAGCTTTACTTGGCTGGTTTAGAAGCGATGTATGGTAAATGGCCTGTATTTGTATAGCGCTTTACTTAGTCCCTATGGACCCCAAAGCGCTTTACACTACATTCAGTCATTCACCCATTTACACACACATTCACACACTGGTGATGACAAGCTACGTTGTAGCCACAGCTGCCCTGGGGCGCACTGACAGAGGCGAGGCGACCTGTCTCTGAAAGGTACCTGGTGTTCATCCGCCCCATATGCCCACCCCTATGAAAAAATTCTGGAGACACCATTGCATACAGATCAGTCTTATGAAGTATTTGGGTTTTTCTGGCAAAAAGTATTTGCCAGAAAAAAAATATTACAATGGAAAATATTACAATGTAGTAATTAGACATGGAAAATTGTAATAAAAGTAATAAAATAGTGACAATTTCAGAGTTTTTCCAGCCTTTCCTGTTGAGAATTTCATACATAACACTGTGTGACCTGGACTTCACCTATACAATATTTACAATAACATCTTTAAGAGCAGTGGTCACATTGGGCAAATACTGATATTAGTCAGTGAATGACACTTAACATTCATAAATAGTGCTGCTTTTCGCTTCCTATCTTGCCAGAGAGAGTCATAATAATGCACACCCTCTTATGTGTGCATTAAAGCTATCTTAGCTTCACACATTCTTCTTGTTCTTCTTCAAAAATATACTAAGGTCTTCTTTTCAAGTGCCTCTTAAGCCGAGCTGTTTTGCAGCTTGGACTTATCGGCCATCTTTGGTGCTTAATGGTGTTTATTAAATAAGCTAATCCTGCCAGAAGTTTTGTAGATCCCATCAAAACATTTCATACCAGCAATTAGCAGAGGCTGTTAAAAGTAAAGCATATACAACTGGTCAAAGTGTGAGTGCAGCCTTTGGAAAATCCAAATAAAACTTTGTATATTATGTTGCTGTATCACACACTAACTTTTGACCATTCTGACCTAATGAAAATTTAATTTGGATCACCCCATTGCCCATTTAAAGTGTCAGGTGCAGTATTAACTGATGTCGATTCTTAGTATCCTCACTGCGATTTGCTTCTACTCTAACTAAATACAATTTAAATGATTTAACAGTAACACAAAAGCATGTTTTTGTTTGCAGGAAGCACTTAAATTCACATTCTCTAACTTTGAATCGATTGTTATGGGCACTTGCAGTTTATGCATATATATCCAAGCACACTATTCTGTGGTATTAAAGCATCCACTATATGGTGCTGTTGCAACACTTTCACAGTTATAATACATTTGGTATTTGGTGGTAGAGCTGTTTTCCTGTCACTATATGCAGTCATATAATATGGTTTCTTTCACATCCAGCTGTGTCCAGTTGTATGATCATTTTTTATCACATGTGGCTGGTGCCCCTGACCTCTGACCCCTGTGTTGTCTTGTACTCATAAACAGCCCAGGGCTACATGTTCTCACTGTCTGTTTAGTTTTGTCTCCCAGTGTGTGTTTGCATGTGTGTGTGTGCGTTAGCTCCATAAGCCTGAGTTTGTTTTTCATTGTAAGCTATAGGGCTGTGCATGCATGCCCGAATGTGTGTTTCATGTTGTTGTTACAGTGACTGTTTCTGTGTGTGTGTTCTGCTCAGTGAGCTGCGTGTCTCTCAGCTGTGTCTCCCTACAGCTGCCCCTGACTCAGCTGGATATTACAACATGACCTTTAATACTGACCTACACATTTGGCACTTAATGTCTACACGATTCTGACCTAATGCTCAGACTGACAAAATAATCCAAGTAAACCCTTTTGTTGTGCACTTTGAGCTGCAAAGTATTTGTCATGGTAATCATGGCAGCAACCCAGAACATTTAGACATGTAGACATGATCAAAACTGAACTCAAATGGCTTCCACAAAGATCTGAATCCAATAGAGCACCTTTGGGATGTGGTGGAAGAAGAGATTCCCATCATGGATGTGCAGCTGACAAATCTGCAGCAGCTGTGTGATGCTATCATGTCAGTGGGGACAAAAACCTCTGGAATGTTCCCAACACCTTGGTGAGTCCATGCCATGAAGACTTAAAGTAGTTGGAGAGGCCGCAGAGTGCACAAGAAACTTTGTCTTTAATGAAAGAAGGAAACAATAGTGTATGAAAGTTTAAAGATGTAAACCTTTTTAAGGGAACCTCTTGAAAGCAAAAGGATGCTTGGCTAGCCATCATCAAAAGGAATTTTGTAATAAAACAAGAAGAGTTTGACTTATGTTTTGCTTTTCAGTTGGTGGAACCCAGAGACCAAATAGTGGGCCTGGGCACTTAAAAGGTTGCAGAAAAACTTTGTAAAGGTGTTCAATAATGACAGATAATGACATCCATCCATCTTCTTCCACTTATCTGAGGCTGGGTGTCGGGGGCAGCAACCTAAGCAGAGAAGCCCAGACCTCCCTCTTCCCAGCCACCTCCTCCAGCTTGTCTGGGGGAACACCAAGGCGTTTCCAGGCCAGCTGAGAGATATAATCTCTCCAGTGTGTCCTGGGTCTGCCCTGGAGCCTCCTCCCCGTGGGACATGCCCAGAACACCTCACCCAGGAGGCGGCCAAGGAGCATCGTTGTCAGATGCCTGAACCACCTCAACTGGATCCTTAGCTTCCTGTCTGACAGACGCCAAGTGGTAGACTGGGCAGCATCACCTCATCCCCCGTCACACTGAACACTGGTGCTCCACAGGGGTGTGTACTGAGCCCTCTCCTGTACTCACTCTACACCTACGACTGCACAGCCACTAACAACTCCAACATCATTGTGAAGTTTGCGGACGACACTACAGTGGTGGGTCTTATCACCAACTGGTGATGAGACGGCTTACAGGGAGGAGGTCAGCGCCCTGACCCACTGGTGTCAAGACAACCATCTCACCCTCAACGTCGCAAAGACAAAGGAGTTGATAGTGGACTTCCGGAGGTGCAGAGAAGTACACACCCCCATCACCATCAACGGCGCTGCTGTGGAGAGAGTGAGCAGCTTCCGGTTCCTTGGAGTACATCTGGCTGAGGATCTTACGTGGTCAGTACACACAAACAAAACAGTGAAGAAGGCGCAGCAGCGCCTCTTCTTTCTCAGGAGACTGAAAAGATTCGGCATGAGCCCCCGCATCCTCAGGACCTTCTATCACTGTGCCATTGAGAGCATCCTCACTGGATGCATCACCACCTGGTATGGCAACAGCACCGCCTACAACTGCAAAGCTCTCCAGCGAGTAGTGCGGTGCTCTGAACGGATAATTGGAGGTGAGCTTCCCTCCCTCCAAGACATCTACAGGAAGCGCTGCCTGAGGAAAGCGGGGAGGATCATCAAGGACTCCAGTCACCCCAGCCATAAACTGTTCAGACTGCTTCCATCAGGAAGGAGGTTCTGCAGCATCCGGTCCCGTACCAGCAGACTGAGAGACAGCTTCTTCCACCAGGCCATCAGACTGCTGAACACTCATAGACACCTCAGCTTCACTACTGGAACTTTAACATTATGCACTCCACTACTGTACAGTAATGCCACTGTTTTGCACATGTCTCACTCTGTATATATTTTATATATTTTATTTATTGTTTACTCTATTTAATTGTAAAATATGTGATACACCCACACACACAACACACACACACACACACACACACACACACACACACACACACACACACACACACACACACACACACACACACACGTAGAAAAATATTTAGTATACACATCCAGAAATGCATATACTATTATATATTGTACATATATTTATTAGTTTCAGATGTAGCCATTCTTGTATTTTGCTTGTTTACATTATTGTATTTTGCACAACTCTGTTGCTTGTGAAGCTCGCACACAAGAATTTCACTCACATGTGCTGTACCAATGTACCTGCACATGTGATGTGACAATAAAAGTGATTTGATTTGATTTGATTTGGCTCCTTTCAATGTGGAGGAGCAGCGGCTCTACTCTGAGCCCC